TTAACCCCACTTTGACTCACCACCTGCAGGAGAATCAGTGAGTGGCTGGTGCTTCACATGTCTACCTTAAAAAGATGTATTTTATCTCCTCCAACAACCTCTGTATGTGATTTGGCGAACCACCTGACTTGCATTGTATGACGTCAAAGCTACTTTATATGGTAATAGTAGCTAAATACATACATGTGAAAACAAGGGAGTGAACCAATCTGAAACAGTTAGATCTATTCTGCTCCATTCTGTGTTTAGGTTCCCCGGTTTTAATGTCAGAAAAATAGCACAAAAGATTGATTCATACAAAATGGTTGTTTAAAGGGGGGTGGGTCCATATGCTTCCAAACATCCTGCAGTATTGATCACTTTCTTCAGCCGCCTCAGTCTGTCTGCGCTGAGTTACTCTCTCCTTCAGTCAGTGTTTTGGTCCTAAACCTGACGATACACAGTAAAGTCGGCATCATCCCTTGAAACTGGGCCATAGACTGTTGCCTGTTACTGAAGATAAATGGACTGTTGCATTTGCTTTGTTTCCTTGACAAATAAAAACATCTAATGGAGATTGTGCATAACTGTTCCTGATAGGTACAGATAAAAACACATATAATCCAAGACCTATTCTTTATAAGTGTATGGCGTTTATGGTCTGTTGTGAGCGAATGTAAAGCCGAAAGACAACACGTATTACTGGTCACACCACAATTTAACACAAGAAGAGCAGTCAACTTGACAGTTTTCTAGATTAGAAAGCGTAATGATGCACATTTTTGGTCTTTTTAACTGTCTCTTTATGTAGTTTATTTCTATGTCATTATTATTATGAATCTTTTAGCAGTTAGCATTAAGCAGCCTTTTTTTCTGTATTTCAAGTCATATTCCCCAGTTTTAACATACAAATATAATAAATGCCTGTCAGTAACATCAGCAGCTTTTTACCATCTAAAAAACATTGCCAGGATCAAAAACATAGTGTCTAAAGCAGACTTGGAGATTCTTATCCATGCATTTGTCTCCAGTAGGTTAGACTACTGCAATGGACTGCTCACAGGTCTGTCCAAACAGGCTGTAAAACAGCTGCAGTACATTCAAAATGCAGCAGCTCGAGTCCTGACAAGAACCAGGAAGTACGACCATATTAGTCCAGTCCTCAGGTCTCTGCACTGGCTTCCTGTGGCTCAGAGAACAGACTTTAAAACAGCTCTGCTTGTGTACAAGTCTCTCCATGGCCTTGCACCAAAATATATTTGTGACATTAGTCCCATATGAACCAGCCCGGACTCTGAGGAGCACAGGGACTGGACTCCTGTTAGTGTCCAGAGTCAGGACTAAACATGGGGAGGCTGCTTTTCAGATTGAGATGAAATGATGTGAGACAGGCCTCCTCTCTGACAATGTTTAAAACCAGGTTAAAGATAGTTCTGTTTAGCTGTGCATACAACTGAGGGATTTTATATTTTTAATCTTTATTTTTAATGTACTGTGATTATTTATGATTTTAATGCTATCTTATTTTGTTCAGCACTTTGAGTTGCCTTGTGAATGAATTGTGCTATACAAATAAACTTGCCTTGTCTTTTTTGAATACAAGTAGTTAAATTGAATCTGCTCATGGGGATTTTCTACATCAGAATTCTGGGAGTCCATGTTCCTTGCCGATACAGGACGGTCTATGAACAGTGGAGATGAATCAGGACATTTATTCATTTCTATATATTTTTAAATATCATTTGTGTTTATATATTCATTTATCTTTTTTTATATTATACATTTAATTATTTGGAGCAAATAGTTTTACAAGACCTCAAAAAAGAGACATTTATGGATGACATTTATGGATTTTATCAACATTTATGGACATTGGTTGCTTATAGTCCAGCAATTACGGTAATATAATCAAAAATATATATCAATTGTTTATTATCCCGCCTGCAGTGCCTTCCTTCTTTCATTTATTTTGTATTTCCTCATTTCATCAGTCACTTGGTTGGCAGGTCAGGCTCAAACCCCCTCTGACAGCAGGGGTCAACAGATGGTAGACCTATCCTGCGTCCTCTCCTTCACCACTCAAAACTGCTTTAGGAAGGAGCAGAGATGTAGAGTTGTGTTTTGTACAAAGGAAAGAGGACTGGGACCACACACTATCAGTGAAAATAGGGACAGGCTTTTATTTTACCTTCAGGGTCAGGGCAGGTGAGTTTGTTTACTCTAATCATTTCTTAAAGCTGGGCTGCCTAACTTTCAAACCATCCATCCATCCATTTTCTACCCTTTAATCCATTTCTGGGTCAGGGGGGTGGCAGTCAGAGATGCCACCCAAGTCTCATAGCACCAGCCCCTCACTGACCCTCTGCAGGTGGTGAGTCCACAGGAGGACGGCTGCTCTCTGACTGTGAGCATAGCCTTGATCTTTCAGTGGGGGCTTTGGGCAAAGTGGGGTTAAGTGTCTTGCCCAAGGACACAACGACGGCAGTCATCAGTGGGAGTCGGTGGAGAAGGTGTAGAGGTGGGGATTGAACCCACGACCTTCAGGCCTGAAAGCCAATGCTCTACCAACTGAGCTACTGTCGCCCCCGCACTTTCAAACCACACACACTCAAAACAGTTAAGTTCTATCACTAGTTTTCATAAACCCTTAATCAGCTCAGTGACTTACAATGTTCTTTCTTACAAGATTCCTAAGATTACATGGTTCCTAATAAGATTTAAGAAACACCCATCCATCCATTTTCTTCCCCTTAATCAATTTCTGGGTTGGGGGGGTGGCAGTCAGAGCTGCACCCAGTCCACAGAGCACCAGCCCCTCACTGATCCTCCTGCAGGTGCTGAGTCCACAGGAGCCTTGATTTTGCAGTGAGGGCTTCAGGCAAAGTGGGGTTAAGTATCTTGCCCAAGGACACAATGACAGCAGTCATCAGTGGGAGTCGTGAAGTAGGTCTTTCGGTGGGCTTGAACCCATGACCTTCAGGCCCATAGGCCAATGCTCTACCAACTGAGCCACTGTCAAAACAGCATTAAGAAACATCCATTGTTTAAAAAATCTTTATGCACAACCAAGATGCAATGGGACGAAAGATAAAATAATGAAAAAATAAAAATGTTTGTATTTTTGGCAATGATGGAAAAGCCATTACAAGAGGGAGGCGCAGGTTGCTGAGTCCTATATCGAGAATGGTGCTGTTATTGTTTATCTGTTGTTTTAAAGATGATGGATCTAAAGATTTTGTATTCACACAAGAGACATTACGGTACTGAGCTTTATTGCCGTCAGACCGGTTCCCCATGTCAGGTACGTGGAGGTGGTTGTGGGAACATGGAGCCCCTGGTGAAGGAGGACTGCAGCGGTTGTGGCAGTATGAAATCATTTCCTGCCTGAGTCTGAATATAGTAATGATTAGGTACAAAGAGGATGTTTTGGCCGACTGGGTCGCCACACAATGGGGAACAGCCCTGCGTGTTTACGAGATGACGAAAGACATAATACCTTTTGAACACAGGTCTTATGGTCATCTTAATGCTCTTTGTGTAGTTTGCAAACAGGCAGACATCAAAGATATGTTTTATGCAATATTTTGAGGACAATTATCCTATTTGCTGATTTCTTTTCAGTTGTCTATCATCCGCAATTCCAAAACCTCACACAATGGTACAATGGTTAGGTGGTCTGCAAATGTGCTTGGCGGTCAGTGACAGTGCCTTTGGATTGGCAGACTGGAGTGGTCAAATTAATACTGTGAAATCACACTTCTCAGCCGAATCTCAAATTTAAGAGGAGCAATTTGGTATTCTTGGGCCATCTCTATATTCTCTACTGAGCTGTGCGTCCCTGTATGACTGAACTCCCCTGTATTTACTGACCAGCTCTCGATTTACCTGGTCAGTAAACTCACCCTCACCTTTGGTCGTGAGCTTTGGATAATGACTGACAGAATGAAGTATCTGGGAGGTCCTTTAGAGACAGGGTGAGGAGCTTAGTCACATCAAAGTTGCTCAGAGTAGAGCTGCTGCTCCAGATGAGCTGGAGGGGTTAGCATGATTTGATGCTCAGACTGCTCCCTCAGCCTCCTGACCATGGATAAAACATACAGAAATCAATGTATGTTTAGGTGGTAAAAACAATTATTAGAATATACATCGCTGGTGATTCTCATATTGGTCATAAAAAGTGAATGTATATAATAACAATCATGCACTTTAGGTTATATTATGATCACATCAAATGTGTTGTGGTAAATTAATACAGTAGCCACAGCTGCCCTGGGGTAGACTGATGGAAGAAGTGCTACCAATCTGTGATCAGGCTTTCACTTACAGGTAAGCCAGCCGCATGTGAAAGATGAGACAACCACAGATATGGTGAAGTACAAACAAGGAACTTGCCAACCACCTCAGCACAGAGCAGGCGATGAGAGAGGTGTAGGTTCAGAGCAGAGAGAGTTTAGGCCGTGTGTGTGTGTGTGCGTGTGTGTGTATTTATTTGTGTACTATACCCTATGGTAAGCGTCTGCTTCATCCAAACCCTTGTCACGCCTACCTATATTAGTGTGAAGATATGGAAAACTAACTAATGATACTCGGTTCATTATTCGAGGTCTGTCCCTTATTGCTCATGCCTGGGCCCAAAGATGCCTTTGGGATCTTTCAATGACTGGTGGGCCATCTAGTGGTGATGAAGGGATCAGGTCTATAAACTAAAAAGAAAAGTTAAATATTGTGGTTTTAACTTCTGAAATTTTATTTCAAGGTCATGGGGAATAGGTGTGATTATCGGATTGAAATAAATATATTATCCTAAAAAAAAAAGTTGGCCTCCTTCGCAAGAAAAGTATATTTTGGAATGACGCTGCGTGCGCCACCTTTGGACTGCGCACGCTCACTGACTGTCTGTGAGCGGCTCAGATGTGCCTGTCTGTGTGCGTGTTACACCCGGTTACACCCTACACCCGCTTACAACATCCCAGTACCTGTTCTTAACCAAACCCGAGACAATGAGGCATCGCTGGAAGCATATGGTGTTGCTGTGGATGCTGGTCTGCTCTGGTCTGACCGAAGCTATAGAGCCCATAAGTACCAGCATCGCCGTGGGCATGGCAGCTGCTCTCACCGGGTTTCTGGCCAGTTATCCGAACATCCTCTACTACTTCCACGAGTGTTGTCGTCCGGAGTGGATTTCTTTCAACAAAACAGGTGAGCTGCCACAGGAAGTCATGGTTGTCACAGTCTATGGTGTTTACTTATGCTCTGACGTACACAGCAAAGTACATGAAGTGGTTTAATGGTATATCCGGGCGACGTATGCATATTATTTATTTTTAAGATTATTATTTAAAACGTGCATGAAGCTAGCTAACTGAAACACTAAAAAAGCTGTTGTGTCACGTGACTGGGTGACGTTGCCATGCGGAAGTTGCGGCGCTTGTGTGTTGGCGCTGACATGCTACTGTAGCTAGTTAGCATCCACGGAGCTTATTCGTCGCTTTTATGTCTTTAAAACTCGAATCCAATGTCAAACCTTTGCGACGATGAAAGTAAAACGCGCGTACCTGCTCTTCTATGGCGTTTCGTTCATGTGTGCACTGGTGAACGCCTTTGATCCAGTAACAGCCACGGTAGCAGTGGGCGGCATTGGTGCTTGGACGCTTGGGACAATTTACAAATACTTTCAAGAGAGTTGTAGCTCTAAATGGATTGCTTTTAATTCTACGGGTGAGAGAATGAGCACACTATGGATTTTCGCTTTGCATTGGTACTTTGATTGTAAAAAAATATATGTATTTAGTTTGATATTGTAAGGGGATTTATATTGTTTTGTTTTGTGTTATGCCTGTGTTATTACCTGGCTAGGACCTATTTTGAGTGCGCATTGATATGACGGTGATGAGGTCACGGGCGCATGAAAAAGGTAACCTCGGGTTTGAGGAGAGTTCCCTTGATGAGGAGCTGGAGACTGAATAAAGCTACGTTCCTGAGGAGCTGTCCCTCTCTGTGTGATTCTTCATACACCCACGACCTTTCTAACACAGGGTGATACTCGCTCAATGCAAATGATATGAAGAAGATGTTAAAAACTATTGAAACGTTATCAGAGAAAGTTGAGCACCTACAGTTGGCAGTGGACCGTCAACACAGAGAGGGACAGCTCCTCAGGAACGTAGCTTTATTCAGTCTCCAGCTCCTCATCAAGGGAACTCTCCTCAAACCCGAGGTTACCTTTTTCATGCGCCCGTGACCTCATCACCGTCATATCAATGCGCACTCAAAATAGGTCCTAGCCAGGTAATAACACAGGCATAACACAAAACAAAACAATATAAATCCCCTTACAATATCATATTGTGAAATGAACAACGTGGAGACTGATATGTATTCAGTTTTCCTGGACGGCCTATATAGCTGTCTGTCTGTGGGAGCGAACACCTGCCTCAAAGTGGGCTTCCCTGAGGTTTCTCGTTATTTTGCCCACTAGGTTTTTTGTTGTTGTTCCTTGCCGATGTAGGAGGGTCTCAAGATCTTTGGACATCTATTAAGATAGATAGATAGATACTTTATTGATCCCCCGTAGGAGAAATTCAGGTGTCCAGTAGCAGCAAAAATGAAAATAAAAATTGATCATTCTATAAACATAATAATAGTAATAATCAGCAACAGCCCTTATTTTGGTCACCTGCCCCTTATGGATCAATGGTTCTTCGTTTTTTTTTATCATTGCATTTCCTATGTTTCAACTGTTTGAATCTCTGATCTGTGTTGGTGAATCGTCCTCCGAGATAACTACTGTTGTGATTTAGGGCTGTACAAAAATTAATTTGAATTTTCACGTTTGCGCTTTTTGCAGGTCTTGAGGTGGACTTGGAGAGTAAACTTTTTGGGCAGCACATTGCCTCACGGATCATCTCTAAAGCTGTAAATGGGTTCATGAACAATGACAACCCAAAGAAGCCTCTGGTTCTGTCCCTGCACGGATGGACGGGGACGGGGAAGAATTTCGTCAGCAAAATGATCGCAGAAAACCTCTACAAAGAAGGAATGCACAGCAGTTTTGTGCACGTTTTCACATCGGAACTGCATTTTCCTCACGCCAGTCACATCGAGACGTACAAGGTGTGAACAAAATGCTTTAACTAACCTTATCTCAATAAAACATTAACCCGTTTGCTTCGCTTTAGTCTCAGCTGCAGCAGTGGATCAAAGGCAACGTCACAAACTGTGGCCAGTCCATGTTCATTTTTGATGAGATGGATAAAATGCACCCGGGTCTGATTGACAGCATCAAGCCTTACCTGGATTACTACGACAAACTGGACGGAGTCTCGTATCGGAAAGCCATTTTTATCTTTCTCAGGTGTGTAACAAATGCACTTTTTAGCCATTTTGGTCACGGGGTCATCCCACTAACATTAACCAGATAAAGCTCATGCGTAAGTGGCATTGTTAAACATCCTTTTCCTTTTTGTATTTGGTTATATAGCAATGCTGGTGGTGAGAGCATAATACAAACTGCTCTAGATTTCTGGAAAGCTGGACGAGACCGGGAGGAGATTGAACTCAGTGATCTAGAAACTGCACTTTCCTTATCAGTATTTAATAACAAGAAAAGTAAGTATTCGCCATAGTTTTTGTTTCAGTTCTGTTACAATTTACTAATACATTACCGTTCAAACAGGCGGCCTGTGGCACACGAGTTTGATTGACAAGAACTTGGTGGACTTCTTTGTTCCTTTTCTTCCTCTGGAATACAAACACGTGGTTCAGTGCGCCATGGCTGAGATGGACGCCAGAGATATAGAAGCAGACGCGTCGATCGCAGATCAAGTGGCTAGAGATATATTGTACTTTCCCAAGTCTGAGAGAGTATTCTCAGTCACAGGATGCAAGACGATAATTAGTAAATTGGACTACTATGTGTAACTGGAGGATGCCAAATGAATTCACTACATGCACTTTTAAATGTGGGAGGCTTTCTGCTGTACAGCGTCACAAGTGGAGGCTTCTACCTTTTTGTTCAAAGACATGAGTCGTACAAAACTTTTGTCTACGGTGCACTCTTAACTGTATCTGTCACAGCACAGTCCTGATGAAAAATGTAGAACCACTTGAAACATTTGTTTGCATGGAGTTTCCAAGCAGAGCTTCAATATGCAACACAAAGACGTTGGAGTGAGACACAACATGAGAAGAACCAATTCATCGTAAAAGCAATTTAAGCTGATCCAAAGTTTAGGACAAAAAAAACCTGTAAATCCCTTTTACTAATGAACCTTCACTCATTATGCCGCCTCCTTCACTCTGGCGTGTCATTGGGCTGCGGCTGGTTGCATTGGTCCATGGATTGTAAAGCGTCTTGATGGACAGCCCTGTTTGAATCCTTCTGCTCAATGCTGCTGTAGTTTTAAGACATTCTAAATGACTTCCCTCCTCAGCAGTGATGGACTCTGTTCATACAGTGCAATTCACTCAGGTTCAAAAAGCGTTTTTCCTCTGCAAACGCCATGACTGTGAATGCCTCATGGACACTGACAAATTCATGTTTTTCTACAGATTCTTTAAGAGTTTTGATCTGTGGTTTATTTACAGCTGTTTGAGCCTTTTTTGTCTCACTCCGGTTTCCTCTTGTTGCATATTGAAGTTCTACTTGCTTGGATCCAACCATGAAATATTTCAAGTCTTACAAGTCTGATTAATAAGTCTCACAAGTCTTTCTTTACTGTAGAAAGTTCCATATTTTTAGATCTACTGAATAGTTTTACACTGACAATCTCCCTTAGTAACAGTTACTCAATGTGATTCATCTACATTTTAGTGGAAATGCTGAGATGAAATACAGCTTTTAAACTATTGTCTAAATTTGACTTGTTTTAATGTTTTCTTACAAAATCCAATTGTCAAGTTTATAAAATGTCATTGGTCTTTATACTGTTTACTACACGAGGGGCCTTTATGTAAGATAATGTATTTGGTGGGTATTAATTAGATCTAACGTCCACAAATCAAAATAAACAATGTATAAGGTCATGTGTTGGTGTTTTTTGCATCATAAAACACATTCACGTTGGAAACTGAATTGCCAGTTAATATACTTCATAATAAAAATAATCCAAGTTTTAGTTATGACTTAAACTGTTAAAATAAAACTTATGTGCACTTTATCCCAGTTAAATTCTGGTGCACGGGAAATGCTGTTTCTGTTCATGTTTTGAATGGTAAGGAGCAACTGGAGGAAACCTATGTAGACACGGGGAGAACATGCAAACTCCATTCAATCAGAAAGGCCCTGTTACGTCCTGGATGCGAATTTGAACAGTGACAGCTAACCACTCTGCCACAATGTTCAGTAGTTTGATGGGAACTAACTTACTGTACTTGGAAGTCAGAGCATTTGTAACCAACGTGAAACACTTCAAATACAGTAAACTGTCCTCATTACCTTTTAAAAGATATTTACTTTAGGGCATTCGGGTCATTTCGCCCTTGTGCAAGACACTTCACTCACCTGTAGAATAGTGCAATATAAATGTGACCATATCCACATGCTTCTTGTGCAACAAAAACATTTTCTGCAATACTCTTTTATTGATTTATTTCAAGAAAACATTTATTGTCACAATGAAGTCATTTCTTTCTCTTGCTCTTTGTAAAGATCCACAGTTGTCCAGGTTTTATTTTGAAAGTCTTTGAGGTGGCTCGTAGATTTAAACCAGCAGAACAGCATTGATGCAGCCGTCATTCTCCGGGTTGTTCGTCACTTGTGCATATTTACCTGGAAGATGACAAGACGGAACATTACTAAACACATATCACAGTATCCTTCTATATTCAGTTTTAATGAAAGGCCACTGTGAATAATGCAAAGTTACATGATTGAATTTACCCCAGACAACTTTTCCTCCTTGTGTGACTAGTCCCAGTTCGCTGACGTTGACCTCGACGACTGTTCCTTTTGTGATGACTCCGAGTGACGTGTAGAGCGGAGACGACGGGTTCTTCTTCACGCCCAGAATAGGAAGGCAGAATGTGGCTTTCAGCTCTGGATGAGTGACGTGAGCCTTTTTAAAGCGCAGACCCTAAACAAAACAAAAGGAGATACGTCTCAATATGTTTTTTTTCTTTACTGTTGCTGTGGAGATAAAATCTTACCATAGGTCGAATAAACCGCTCATATTTAGGTGGTTTTCGTGTGAATCCATCACCGACGAAACAGACTTTGGTGACCATTCTCTTCCAGGCCTTCTTCTGTCGTTTTCCTGTTTTGATGACTTTGAGAACCTCTGTTTCTCCTTGTGCTCGTACTTTGGGCAAAGGAACTTCCCATTTGCCCTAAAGAATCCATAAAACAATGTTAAAATATATTCACAAAAATAACTTGTAACGGTTAAGTCAGCACTCACAGCTTTTTCTTTTCTTTTCTGTTTGATCATGTTGGAAAGAACTTTAGCACGAGACTGCCCCTCTCTGTCCAGCAGATATGCTGGTACGGCGCCTTCAGGAGTCTTGTCATCATTTTTCTGTTTAGTCTTCCTCTGTTCATGCATTTTGATGCTACAGAAACGATGACAAACAATGTAAGACCATAACAATACTTGACAATGGGAACTATACGGGTTTGATTTTAAACTTACGTTTTCTTCATTTGGATCTTCTCTGCATGTCTCTGTTTGTGGTACAGTTTGGCCTTCAAACCTATAAGTTTTCTGGCTTTCTGGGATCGCTCATGGACCTCACGACTCTCCTTCTTTCTTTTCCTCTCATGGTGGTCGAGGCGGTAACCATGGCGTTTGCGATGCAACTCGATGTGCTCGTTCTGGGGCTGAACAACAAAAGCAACATTATTACACTGATTCATAAAGTATAATATAAACAGGTAAGGTCTGCATTAAATTAGAAGTCTAAAAATGTCTGCGTTTTGGCACCAAGGTGCAACACGAGGAATAATCTACATGTAAATAATAAGAGAAAAGTAAAAATAGGAAGTAACCACTAATCCAGAAATGCCTGACATACAATACATATGTGCATATATGATGTTATCATTAGGGTAGATTTTGATTATAAAACAATCTGCAAAACTAGTGACAATCATTAATAAATTATTCTGACCCAGTGAGACAGGAGTACCTTAAATTAAATATAAATATTATTGGAAGCACATTTCATACATTTGACTAACGAGATGATTTATGAATGTCTTAAATGATTGGCAAGGCTTTCGTCCATCTGTATCTGATTCTGAACTGTTAGTTACAGTGAATAAGATTATGAAATGACAACTAATAACCATTTGTCTATTGTTTTTTTCAATGCAGTCAGACCATTATTGGCTGATCACAACTGAAACAAAGTTATATTGTGACAATCACTCCACCGTGGCACATGTGAGCCATGCTAACCCCGACATGCTAACAGCTATAAGACAATTTAGCAGCTGAACAAGCAAATAAAACGTTTAAACTCATACCATTTTGTCTTGGGGTTAGCGTTACAACTTTTACTGATTTGGTGTTTCGGGTTTCTGGTGAAAATAGGCGACTTTATATGTATTTTTCCAGTGGCTCGGGCTGTTCCGATGTTGTTTTCCCGAAGCCAACACTTTAGAGGAAATACGTCATAGTAAGAAAGGAAGTTGTTCACGTACATCCATGCGAAAAAACACATTCATAATCACGACTTCTTCAAAATATTGTACATACTGATATTTATATATATATAACGTACAATATGTAACGTAATTCTTGTATTTGAAGAATGGTTTTGCCTGTGGAACGAATGCGATAATGACGCTGTTTCTGGGGGTGTGATTTGAGTGAAGGACCACATGAACACACGACTTCTGCTGTTGACATTTGTAGTAATATCATGTGTAATACGGACTTCCTACAGTTATTTTAAGGTTTATTTCACATCGATTTTCAAAGATGCGATGTATTTGACAATTACGCGGTGTCTTCCCTCACAGTCAACAGGGAACAAATAGAAGTAACGTTATGTTTTGGGTAAGCCTGTCTCCATATGAATTATGTGTTATGTCACTGCCATTTAGAATGAGATAATTCAACATATCCCTGTACATCATAGACCAAGTACTTGTTTGTGGCTGGACCTCATCGCAGATCCACGGTGATCTGGATTATAAAAAGAAAATATGGTTTTCTTTCTGGTGAGTATTGATATTTATGCATACATTTGCACTTGAGAATTGTGGTTTTACATAATAGTATTTTGCAGTAGTTCTAGTTTTTCAAGATAGATTTCACATGCAATGTAATGAATGAATTGAATATTTATCATGGTCATGATCATGGTCCTGCGCAGGTACGATAATCTTCTATAACCTGGTACAAGGCATCTTTTCTTGGTTGGTTAATGTAACACTGTATTCTGTTCCTATACAAGGACACATCATACGGTGGTAGTCAAAGATATATGCTACCTGTGAGTTGTTGTTTTATTTCAGTTTACCCTCTATTGTATTACTCTTATAGATGATGTCAAATCTGTGCGGACTGTTGTCACCCCAGACATATCCAAGTAAGAAAGATGTTTATTCTTCTTCAATTGATTTTCATTCTTTGCATTAAGTGTATTTTTCATAGGATCCGAAATATTGGGATTATGGCTCACATTGATGCCGGCAAGACTACCACAACAGAAAGAATGCTGTTTTACTCTGGTTATATAAGGGCGTTAGGAGGTGAGGTCATTTTTACTCACACAGCAAAATATGCAGCTTGTTACCGTTTGTTTGTTTTGGTTAATGTTGCCTCCAGATGTAGATGATGGGGATACAGTTACAGACTTCATGGCCCAGGAACGAGAGCGAGGTATAACTATACAGTCGGCAGCCGTCACATTTGACTGGAAAAACCATAGAATTAATCTGATCGATACACCAGGTATGTTCATGAAGTAAATGTGTGTTCTTGATTTGATTGACAGCTTTATGTTTTTACAGGACACGTCGACTTCACTCTGGAGGTAGAACGCTCTCTTCGTGTTTTAGACGGTGCAGTCGCTGTGTTTGACGCTTCTGCTGGTGTCGAGGTTTGTTATGATTAACACTAAAAAGACTCCCAGAATTTGGACACTGGTAGGACTCCCAGAGCCGTCATTTTGACTGCTCCCATTCAAATGTATGATATTCTGAAAAATTCCCCAAAAAGTAGTTGGTTTGTTTTTCACCATTTTTATTAATTAAAAGTAAATGATTAATAAGTTCTAAAAATAACTACAAAATGTAACCTTGGCGAAAATGGGGCTTTAACTGCCATAGAATGTTGGTGGCCAAGTGACCAAAGATCAAATTAATGGAGCCGTTAAAATGACTTCTCTGGGAGTTAAAGGTAGATTCACATTTCCAAAATAAAACGTATGTTATGAAAATAATGACATAGAAATACACTGCATATAGAAACAAAAAAAAGTCACACAATTCTGACTAAAATGTACATGATCTGAGACATTATACCAAAACCCACCATATTGACTGCTCTGGGAGTTCTAGTGTTAAAAATGCATTTTGTAATATTTATGGACAACAATGCATCATCTGTGCGTCTCCATGGGAACGCTATAGTTTACAGTGTTGGTGATATTTACAGGCCCAAACACTCACTGTGTGGAGACAAGCTCAGAAGCATCATGTTCCCTGCATCGGCTTTCTCAATAAGATGGATAAACCTATGGCAAAGTAGGTTATAGCAACAATAAATACTTTAACATCTGAATATTTAACCATTTGGCCTATTGTCTCTTTTCACAGCCTAAATCTTTGTATTGAAAGCATCAAAGAAAAGATGCACACAACACCAATCCTTCTACAGGTAGGCTTTAAAAATGAAAAGATCTGAGAATAACATAATATTGAAACCATAGAGAATCAGTCAATTATATATGTACGTGACCATTCCAGATTCCAGTTGGATGTGGGAAGAGCTTTTCTGGTCTTGTAGATGTATTAACGAAGGAACAGCTCACATGGAAAACACAATCAAAAAACGACGATGGGCGGAGTTTCAATGTTCAGCCTTTAGAGCAGTCTGAACCTGCGCTGGTGGAGGCCGTGAAAGAGGCCAGGGCGTTTCTGATCGAGCAGGTGAACTCATGCAGAAACTACTTTTTAAAATGAGAATAATCATAAATTGATTTTTCTTTCATTTGTACAGGTTGCTGACTTGGATGATGAATTTGCAGAGCTGTTGCTAACTGACTTCAGTGATAATTTTGATGCAGTTCCTTCCATTAAAGTATGATTTATTTTATTTATTTATTTGTAATGGACACAGCAGTTACATTGGGCAGATCAGATGCACTGCCTTTAGAGCTGGGGTCTCCAACTTATAGTTTGGGAGCCACCAGTAGCTCACCATCCCCTCTCAGGTAGCTCCCCGAAGAATTCAGAAATTGAATACTAGATGCTATTTCAATTTTAAGATTAAGAGATTCTTTATTCGTCCCACAGTGGGGAAATTTCAATTTAAATAATTTCAAATTACTAAAACTGTTGACCTTTTGTGCACAAATAAAAAGGCTAAACAGTTTAAGTACCTATATTTTTCATGGTTGTATTGGATATTTTCATTATGGCCACACAAGGGAGTAGCTCTTTGCCATTTCTGTCGTGTAAAAGTAGCTCTCCAGTCAAAAAAAAGAGACCCCAGCTTTAGGGTCACAGCAAGACCATGCTAATTTTCAACACTTGTCCATGGGAGGCTTTTAGGACATCAAAATTAGCACATTTTGGATGAATATCAATGCAATTTAATGTATTATTGAATAGTTCTAAATCACAACAGCAGTTATCTCAGCTGACTTAACAAAACTGTTGATTTCGCCAACACAGATCAGAGAATCAAACCGTTCAAACACGACAAATTCAATGACAAAAAAATTTCCGTAAATGTTCATAAATGTCCTTAAATATCCATAAAATGTTGCTGAAATATCATCCCCACTGTCCTTAGACTCTTCAACACCGGCAAGAAAAACTACCATGTGCTACTTTTTGTTATTTTCTAGATTAAAGAAGCTTTGAGGAGAGTGACACTGGCTCGTAAGGCTATTCCCATTCTCTGCGGAAGCTCTTTGAAAAACAAAGGTGTCCAGCCTCTACTCGACGCCATAATCGCGTATCTCCCCGACCCCAGTCAGCGCCACCACGACGTCATGTGAGTCATACTGTACCTACAACCGCGCGATATAGAACTCTGCTTAACGTCTACTCACAAACTGTATTGACCGTGTTATCTCCCCGTTAGACAATGGTACAAAGAGGACTTATGTGCGTTGGCTTTCAAAGTAATCCACGACAAGCAGCGAGGGCCTCTGGTGTTTGTCAGAATATACTCCGGGACTCTGAAAGCACAGACAGCGGTTCAAAACATCAACCGGGACTGCACGTGAGGCCATTTAACAATTCTACATTATTAAACCAATGAAATAAGCATGCGATTTTCTGTATATATCTACGTTTTTGGCAGTGAGAGGGTGAGCCGTCTGGTTGTGCCGTTTGCCAATCAATATGTAGAAATTCCCTCAATAACGGCCGGAAACATTGCTTTGACTGTTGGACTTAAACAGGTAATTTTAGACCACTTTTTTCATTCTAGGTTTTGTTCTTAATCTTATGTAAGGCTTTAACACTAGAAATCCCAAAGCAGTCAATTCGACGGCTTTTCGTTTTGGAAGTGTCATTACTCAGCTCATGTAAATCTTTATGTCATATGGTTTCTATGTCATTATTTTTAAGAAATGAGGGTTGCAATTTTGAAATGGAGTGAAAGCGCTTGTAACCATGGCAACACAGTGTTAACTTGCTCAAATTAGCATGACATTGAGAGATATTGTATTTGTCCCACGGTGGGGAAATTTCAGTGTTGCATCAGCAATTACAGAACAGTAGGAATGAGGAGCACACAGCACAGCAAGATAAATGAACAAAAAAAAAGCCAAATAAAATAAAATCTCCAACACCTCCAGCTGTAGCATAGTGAAGAAATAAGAATTAGGTACAAAATCTCTCACTTTAGTATTTAAATATGACTTCATTATGCTACCAGTTAGCATTAGCCTTTCAGCAACTGTTTTTTATTCCGTATTTAAAGTTCTATTCACCAGTTTTAAGCTAGAAAACTTCCCTTGATTTGAATTAGAGGGGTCAAAACGACGGCTCCGGGAGTATTTGTATTTTCTTACTTCTGGGAGTCCTGGTGTTAAAATGATCAATCTTACTTTATCATTATTTATTATCTGGATAATCAATGTATCTTTACTTCAGACCGTCACTGGAGACACTATCGTCGCATCCAAAGCCTCGGCAGCTGCTGCACTTCGCCGAGCTCAGGATAAAAAAGGGGAAAAGGACAGTGTAAAAGTCATTCTGACCGGAATAGAAGTGCCTGACCCGGTGTTTTTCTGCACCATAGAGCCGCCTTCCATGGCCAAACAGACTGGTTTGTGATAGTTTCATATATACACAGTGTGTTTGGTTACAATGTTAATTATATTTCCCTTTTAAAAGATTTGGAGAATGCCCTAAGTTGCCTCCAGAGAGAAGACCCTAGCCTCAAAGTCCGGGTTGACCCTGACTCTGGGCAGGTAAGACCATCATGGGATTAACTCAGGCTTTTCTTAGTCCGTGCATCTGCTGCTTACACGCAAGCCATTATTGTCCACTGTCATCTGCAGACCATTCTATGTGGGATGGGAGAGCTGCACATTGATATAATCCACGACAGAATAAGACGAGAGCATGGGATAGAAACTCACCTGGGTCCTTTACAAGTGGCCTACAGGGAGACAGTCACCCAAAAGGCCAAATCCACCGGTACAGAATATTAAAAGGGTTCTTGTATTTTTTTTAACTCATACGAATGACCAGAACGGATGTTGCGTGTGTGATCTAGATACTCTGGACAGAACCATAGGAGAGCGACGACATGTGGTGACGGTGGAGGTCTCGGTAGAACCATCGGACGACACGGGCAGCTCCAGTAAATTCACGTTTCAAACAGATTCACCCAATCAACTTTCTGCTGACCTAAAACAGGCAATTGAAAATGGCGTCCACAGTTCATTTCTTCAAGGTGAAATCATACCCAGTTGTGCTCCAAAGTTTACACACCCTGCCATAGACTGCATTGTTTTGGCCATATTTCTATTTAAATGATGAACAATAACACAAATCCCCTTTTTCTCCACATTAATTTTATAATATCAGGAATCAGTTTTTCATAGCGCTTTTTGGACACTCAATGATGCTTGAAATGTCACTATTCACATTTATTGTTATAATCGTATTGAAAGTGTCTTAGTGTCCAAAAAGTGCTATAAAACTGAGGCATTATCATTTGTCATATGAAAATATAGATTGATATTGATTGATTTGACTATGAACGGTGCCACAACTGTAGAAAAGTCGTTGCATTACACTGGGTAACAAAAAAATATTTTTTGAAAATTGTCCAGGGTTTTCCAGCTGAATTAGACAAATGTTGATGCTCTGAGTCCGAAAATGACCTTGGTTTTGCTCAATCAGGTCAGGATTTTTTGCTACAGAAATATTTTTTTTTTATTGATTTTGCGTAAAAAACTAATTTCTGCAGATCATCAGCTGAGAAACCCTTGACGTTTTTCTGTTTTCCTCAAGAAATAAAAGTCAACCGTTTTTATTTACTCCCTCAAATTTGATAAGCAGAATTCATAATAACGTAGACGTACATAATCCGTAACACTATGGCTGTATCTCAAAAAGTTGACCTGATAGAGCAAAATGCATGTGATATTCGGACTCAGAACACCAACATTAGTCTAAATCAGTTAAGAAACCCCTGACCATTTTTTGGCTGTCAACTTGTGTTATCATTCTTTATGTAGTTTTTTTGCATCAAACTTGTCCTTCTTTCCTCAGGCCCCCTGCTGGGTTATCCAGTGCAAGGCGTTTCCACTGAAATTCAAAGTGTGAGTTTAGAGCCGGGAACCTCTCCAGCCATGGTGTCTGCATGCGTGTCCCGCTGCGTCCAGAAGGTGACCTGCACATCGACTTTAACCTTTTAGACAGATAGATACTTTATTGATCCCCCGTAGGATAAATTCAGGTTTCCAGCAGCAGAAGACTCATCCAGGTTTGTTGTACGGTCTGACAGCCGAAGGAACAATGGATCTCTTGAAACGTTCCGTTCGGCAGCGCAGTGATAGGAACCTGTTGCTTCGATTACTCCTCTGAGCGGCCATAGTGTCATGCAGAGGGTGTCTGGAGTTACCCAGGATGCCCTGCAGTAGAGCCCTCATCCTTCTCTCCAGCACAGCTCCCACAAAGTCCACACTTATCCCCATCCCAGAGTCCACATTTCCTGATCCTCCTGTCGAGCCGGTTACTGTCTCTTGAGGATAGACTGCCGCCCCAACACCCAACCCAGGATAACACAGCAATTTCAATGTTCTAAGATAACAAATAGTAGCGCTAGGAACAGAAATCAATTGTTTTTTTGGAACCCCTAGTTTTGTTTTTGCTATTATAGGCCTTTACCAAATGTCAATGGTAAAAGTGCCTTAAACCAAGTGGTAAGAGATGCCCCAAAGAGGTAGAATTTATTTCAAAGCTTCAAGTTGATTAAGTGACTCAATAAGTGATCCACCAAATGCTTGAGGGGAAACCATCAAAGGGTTATCGTCTCACACACACAGGACCTAAACGCATTCTCTTTGCATTCGCAGGCCATGAGAGCCGCAGGGGCGCAGGTGCTGGAGCCGGTCATGTCATTAGAAGTCACAGTGGGAGAGGATTACCTGGGCTCAGTGCTCGGAGACCTGGCCCAGAGGAGAGGAACAGTCCGTGACATTCAAAGCCGCCATAGCGACAAAGTGCTGCTAGCTACGGTTCCTCTGGCCGAAATGATGGTTGGTTCCAAATCAAAGTTAATTCAGGAAAATCTAGCAAAGCGTATAACGTATTTTTTCTGCTGCAGGGTTACTCCACTGCTCTGCGCTCGCTGACATCTGGGACCGCTACTTTTTCCCTTGAACTAGACACATATGAAGCCATGAACCCACAGGATCAAAACATGTTACTGAAGAGAGTAGCCGGTCTGCTCTGATTCAAAGACTCCCAAATGTATTTAAATGAATGAGAATAAACTGTAAATAAATGTACATACTGCTTATCTGTAATGTCTGATGGATTTTTGCTTTTCCACCCATTTTCTCTAAAATGAGATCATTGAGGACCACTGGATACATTTTTCATTTTATTTTGTGTATATATATTTTTTTTTTGCAAATCGCATTGTAAAATCCAAGTAAAAACGTAAAATAAAACAAAGTGCAATCCAGAGATTCAATACATTCACAGCAGTTTGATCATTCTTTAGTTCAGATTCTTTACAAGTCCCCTGAAAAATAGCAAAAATCATGTAGACTTTATGCCTTTAAAGCACAATCTCATGGTTTCCTTATATCCCCTTGTATTCGTGAGGGCAGTGGCTCGTAAACAGGGGTTCTGCCGGGATTCCACGCCTGAGGTAAACAAAAAAAACTTTATTAAAATGACCACTTGCATCACGTGTTGCTGTTTGCATGTGGATAATGTACTCACTCCACCATACGGCAGCGGTGGCTTGAAAGTCTGCTGTAGGCATCGTTGAGGTCTTTCACTTCTTTGGCACTCCACAGGCGCTCAGCCACAGCACTGGCACGAGGCCTGCGGGGAAAATGTTCAAGAGAATTGCAGTCGACTGATCTGAAAATGGCTTCTTAGTCCACCGACATTAGCATTAACTCTATAGCAGAATAGTATCAACATTTAAGGACAGTGGTCTCTGCTCCTTATGGACCAATGGCTCTGTGTGTTTTTATCATTGCATTTATTGAGTTTGAACGGTTTTATTTTCTGATCTGTTTTGGCGAATGACGATTTTGTAAAGTCCTCCGAGATAACTGCTCTTGTGATTTAGGGCTTTACAAAATGGAATTGAATTACTACACGAGCTCCTGGACACTTTCCATAAAGCAACCTGGCTTCCCACACATATTTCCCTATTTTTTCTCACACCTTTTATTCTAATGATTTTAGTAATTCTCTATTTCTTATAAAGTCTCAGGCCTCTACCTGTTCCACCTCACATTGGCATTTTCTTTGATTATCAAGTGCATTAAAAATCCTCAATTTTTGTGTGTAATAGAGCTTTAATATATGAGGGATTTTGTGTCTTAAGTTTTAAATCTTTAAATCTTGTGAAGATAAAGGTTACGTCGAAATAGAGTAGAGGGTTGACATTTTGTGAATCCCCTTTTAGTCACTAATTGATCCAGAAGGAATGTCTTTGGGTCAACCAAGTATTTCTTCGGTAGATTGCAGCTGTAGTCTTCCCAATATTGTTTAAAAATAAATAAATAATATTTACCAGAGCCTTGGTGTCAAGTTGGTGGCATCTACGAACTCGCCCCAGAGACACGCTTCTCCACCAACCACAAGCTCCTTTTGCTTGTCAGTTCCTGTATTTGAAGAGAAGAAATACATGGATCGAATCATTGATCAATTGTAAAAACGGAAGCAGGGGCAAATGTTCAACAGGCTTACTCATAATTGTCCAGAAGTGAGACTGAGTTAAAGGGAAAAAAACCCAAGAAAACAACAAAACCAAAGCGGAAGATGGATGCGAAAAATAAGTAAACTCAAATATGAATTGATAGCAATGTAAGCAATAATAATAATAATAAAAGTATTTGATCCATTATTAACAAACCCTTAAAATCTTGAGGGTCAGCCTTGTAATGCTGCTGCCAGTCCTGGCCATAGGAGATACGGTTCAGGTACCAGGGAGTGGACAGCAACGTGTGGAAACCAGCAGATGTAATTTGTGCCATCTCGTTCTGGTATTGCTGTTGGTTTCCTTTCCAAACGTGGATAATTGTGTCTGGTTTTAGCTATATTGTACATACATAATAGATAAAAAGGTATGAGTTCATATTTATTCAATCATGGTTATGACTATAGAGCAGGGGTGTCCGACTGGTCCTCAAAGGGCAGGTGTGGCTGCAGGTTTGAATCACAACCTGAGGTGAGGAACGAAAACCTGCGTCCACACCTGCCCTTCCTGGAACCGGTTTGACACCCCTGCTACAGATAAACACCATAGTGCTTTCTTATATTGTATATGTCGACGCACAAACAGCACCAGACGCCCCGCCCCATGTGGAAACTCATATCGTGGCTGCGTTTAGGAGGAAGCCTGCTGATCAAGAGCCAAGATCCAAATTGAAGAAATGTTCACGATTGTATGTTCGGATGTGATGAGAACTGACCGTCAAAGTCTAGCGGCTCAACCTTGTAGTACTTCTGCCAGTCCTGGCCGTAGCTAATGTAATCTAAGTACCATGGGGCGGAGAGGATGGTGGTGTATCCAGCGGCAGTGACTTTGTTCATTTCCTCCTGTAGATTGTTGCCCATCCAAACATGCACTACAGTGTCTGGCTTTATCTAGAACAGTTACAGTCAAGCTAGCGCAATGAGTTTTAGCAACAAGTGGTGTAGCATCCATCCGGTCAATCACAAAATAGTTAGTCAATAAAAAAACTAATACTGTTACCTTGACGCCATTGTCAAAAACCTCCTGCCAGATCATGTATCCCTTATTGGTCTGTGCGACAATATCCAGAAGCCTATCAAACATGGATGTCACTGTCAGTATTTTAAAAACACAAGCAAATACTTGTGTGCGGACGCCAAACCGACTTTTGGATATAGTACGATTCCAGCTTTCTATAATCCTCTCCAAAACCTTGCTGCTTCATAAACGCTTGAATGTCTGGGTTGGACTTCCTGTAATCATTGGAGGTGTAAACAAACGGGTATTTTAAGGAACTAATCCACATTCTGGAGATGACAAAGCTCACCAGCAGGTAAAGTCCACCTCGTCACCTCCCAGATGCACATACGCGTCCGGGAACACCGAGTCGATTTCTTTGAAGAACTGCGTCATGAAATCGTAAGTTGTGTTCAAGATGGGGTTGACGGGTCCAAAGCTGCCGGACGGTGAAGCGCCGGAGTAGCAGGGGGTCAGGAGATCCGGCTGACCTAAAAAAAAAAAACACCACACATTTTAGTTTGAACTATTTGGAGAGTTAGAATCCACACAATCATTTTTGGTTAATTGTGATAAAAATTACCTCCTCCCCAAGAGAGTGTGTGCCCTGGAGTGTCGAACTCTGGGATGACACGGATCCCCCTCAGTCGGGCAAACGCAATAATCATCTTGACATCAGCTGGTGTGTACACGTGTGTATACGGATGGTACGCCCCCTAAACACAAGTTTGTTTATAGCAAGAAACTGTAAAATAGTGACAGTACTTGCTGGACTATAAGCTGGTACTTTAACCAAGTTCTTTTAACCTATTGAAATACAGCTCAATTGAAATCAATGCAATCTTATAGGGTGAATTTAGTTTGACTTCTTCCTACTCCATTTCAGGCGTCAACAAAGGAAACAAAGGATGTATGAATGTAAGTTTGTGAATTTATGCATGTTTTTATCATAAGTTACAATATAGATCCTGTTTGTAAGCTTGACATAAATAAATAAAGCTCAGTCATATTACATACTGCATATTTTCTAAGCTAAAGAGAGATTTTATTTTTAAAGTATAGATTTGTACGATCCTTGATATTCACTCATCTTGTGTTGTGTGCGGCTCATTCCTACTGTCCGGTTACTTGTGATGCTGCAACCATTAAATTTCCCCACTGTGGGACGAATACAGCATGTCTTAATCTTATTCTTCTGTTCGTGTGGGGTAACAATACAACATGAAAACCTGCGGCTTATATTAAACTGCGGCCTATCTGTGAACAAATTGTCTCTCCTCTTCCAATGTAGCAGGTGAGGGCTATAGTCCATCAAGTACGTTATTCTAATGAGTGACTGGAGTAACAGATGCAGCAAACCTTCTGGCTTAGTTGAGGGAAAGTCTTGCTTAAATAGGGAAAGGAAGGGTCATCCACAATATGCCAGTGAAAGACGTTGAATTTGTTCATCGCCATGGTTTCCTGAAAGTCAAATCCAATGAATAGACCTGTAATGTGCAATTAGACATTTCATAAGAGAAGACAGTACATACCAGAGTGGTCAAGATGGTTTTTATAGGTAGAAAGTGCCGTGACGTATCCAGCAAGATTCCCCTGTGTGCAAATCTAGGGAAATCGCTGATTGTGGTCGCATTGACGTTTCTCTAGAATAAATGAACGGGGTAACATGTAAAACACAATACTTAAATAAATTTTACTTCAGTAGATATTCACTTACACTTCCAAACTCATCTCTGTACACCAACTGGCTGAACGTTTCCAAACCTGAAAGAGACACAGGTTTAGCTACATAACAAGAGCAGGGAGCATCTGTGTATAATGCCATTGTATAATTATTATGTTGTCAAAGTGTTATGAAAGTTAAAGTAGCAATATGTAAGATTTCCATGTCAAGTGATCATTAAATGGCCCTAATCTGTCAAAAGGCATTAATAAACCATGCTCTTTTTGAATACTTCTTTAACTGATAACAGTAGTTCAGAGATATTTGGATTTCAAAATTAGTTGCCAGAACTCTCCGCATCGAGCTAATCTCACTGGTAAAGTAACATGTGTCCGCAGAACTAAAAAGGTCTCGTTTTGATTCTAAAATTATTAAAGATAAAACGAGGAATAAAACCAGGATTTCTATCGGGGCCTTTGTGAAAAAAAGATTTGTTGACAAAACTCTCGTCTGTTCAGATATTATGGTCCCAGCTAAATTGGTCTGCATATCTGGAGTCAAGGAGAGTGGGAGAGGTTGCAGTACCACTTTTGGCCAGATTTTTACATAATGCTCCTTTAACAGTAAATAAAGTTTGTCCTACCATGCAAGGCTCCCCAGACTGTTGGCGCCTTCAGCAAAGCGAAAGGTTGATTCACGGTAAGTGTATCTGTTGGAAGAAATAGTTCGTATATAATGTGTAGGGGACAATAGTGTGGAGAGACACTCTCTGTGTGGAGTGAGATACAAATGCCCAAAATTAACAATTGTAAACCGCTTTGAGACTCAGATCTGCAGTGAAAAGGCGGTATATAAATAAAAACTTACTTACTTACTTACTTACTAATAGCTGTTTTAGTACAGACAGATTCCCATTCCTCTAATGGGCCATTTGCAGTAAAACCACATACATTTGCAAAAAACCCCAGTGTGACACCAAAAAAGAACAAGGTAAAAACTGCAAGAAACAATTGTCACTGAGAAATCAAAAAACAAAAACTGTTTCGATATACGTGCATAATCATAAAAGACTTTGGTAAAGCAGTGTACTGAAGATGTTATCGGATGCGGTCAGTCTGACAGATCGGGGCAGATCTGTCGGACCGGCCGCATACGGTAACAACATCTGAAAAGAGATACATCACACAATCACATGCCACCTCTGACAAAAAAAAAAAACTTTCACTTTAGTGTGATCTGAAAATTAAGATCAAGACTTTCTTTTTGTTTTTGTATTTATTTGTTTACTTGTATGGGACTGTAACTAAACACACTAGATTGTAGCTTTTGTAGCTAATTTCCATCTGTAAGATAAGATAAGAATTCCTTTATTCGTCCCACAGTGGGGAAATTTCAATGTTGCAGCGCACATATAGGACAGTAGTAAGAGCACACAGGGATCACACACAATATATACAAATAAGTAAATAAGTAATCCCACAGTCACACTCATTCCTCAATTTTGGCACACATTTTTAGTGGTAGGGGAACTCGGAGCACCCGGAGGAAAACTTTTCAAGCATGAGGAGAACTCCAGACAAAAAATATTGAGATGTAATCAAACCAAGACCCTTCTAGCATTAAAATACTGTCCCGCTTTATCTCTATTACTAACAAAGTCCATCCCTGCTCAAAATTAGATCGACCAGCTCAATATTTAACTATGAGGAAGGAATGAGGAAAGACACTCACATGACTCGTCTGAAGTCACTGTGGGGAAGGAATCGCACTCGGAGTCAGGTGATGTGATCCACACCTGCAGCTCCCCCAGCTCAGAGACATCTGTGTGTCTGCCTTTACCTGACCACTGCTTTTTGGGGCCATCGAAAACGTAGTCAAAGTACCTGAGCCAACATTGCATTGTTTTATTATCATCAAACACACACACAAGCAAATTGGCATGCACAATAATAATGGACTTTGCACTGTACCTTCTGTAGGCAGACTGCAGGAGGGCACAGCTTGGTCCAGCAGAGGATCCTTTGGCGTCGACTATTCTGAAGCCGAGGCTGCTCAACTTGAATGCAACATTGGAGAAATTTACCTTTTGAGGAAGAGGCCACAGAGAACCGTACTTGGAGTTCGCGTCCAGAAACGGCGTCTCCTCGTCTATGTCGTTGAACTGAAGCCCGTGACAGGAGTAAAACAACGGGAGCAGAGCGAGAAAGTGGAGCGAGGTGACCATGTTGGAGGAATCAGTGTAGTGTAGTCACAAGACCAGGAGCAGCGTGAATGACAGGAGAGGCGGGACCGTGGACATGCGGAAGTGGCCGAACCAGTTCTTAAAGCAACAGCAACCACGGAAACTTTTTTTAAAAAAATTATTATTATTAACAAACGATAATAACAGGTTTATAGAACAACTTAGTGACTGTGAATACAAAGGCAATTTCAAGAAAAAACAAAAAACATATAGCCTTCTTAGAGCAACAACTTTTTAAAAAATCAATCGAACTACATAATTATTTAAGAAATATTAAAAAAAAAAAAATTGTATTGCCAAATTTGCTTTTTTGTATGAAGAATTTTGCGAAGATAATACAATTAATTCTTTCGAATTGACCTGTGTTTTGTTGAGGGTAAACCTTATAATTTCTCATTAGCATATTAGCGTTTGAAAGAATAAAACAATGGTATGAATGATCAGTGAGGTGGTTGCTCATGGTGTAGTTGGAGCCTGCTGTGCGTTGGACTATTGTTCCTCTGCATGATTGGTCTACTGCTGTGGCGGCTGCTTCTTGTGACTGGAGTTGGCCTGAGTTGGGGCGCTGGGCCTTGCTGGGGCACAGTGATCATTGTTACAGATGTAACTTTATAAAAGTATTAAATCGCACTGAACACGAGAAATTATTATTAAGGTATTATTTATTCAATGCTAAATAACAACATTCTTGCATGTTTTTGAATTATGTTTATGGGGTGGGAGTCGACAAGTTTTTACTTCCTTCCCACTCCATTTCGAGCTGACAAATTGTAAATAGAGGTTCATTTGTGTATTGATATTGCGATGTATAACACATGGTGTAACTAGGGAAACTATTGTTGCTTGATTGTATAGTTTGTTTATATATTTCTATGTATAAGTATAAACTGTAAGCACAGCAGGCAACATGTATGTATAAAGAATCATCTAAGGAATGTAAATATTGTAAATACTTATGATTGTAAAATTTCTGCTCGAATGAATAAAAAAATCAATCAATCAATCAATCAAGCGTCAGCGCACGTGCCTTATGTTGTCAGGTGCGCGTTGCTAGGTCGACGCATCTGTTGCTAGGGTCAGTGCATTTTTTAAAAAGGTGCATCTTTTGAATCAGTGCATCTGCGGAAAACCTTTAGTTGCGACACAAACTTTTTTAGTCAAACTTCACTTGAGGATTTCTTCCACCAGGAGACATCACAGCTGACCAGTGACTGTCGGGCCGCTCCTGACCATCTGCTGACCGCTTCTGTCCAGACTGTGAGACTTTGTTGACCACAAAACGTGAGATTTTCTACTTTCTGTTCTGTCTCTATTGGTCCGTGTTAATCAGACACACAGGTTCATATCATTTGCTATTAATAAAAATATATCGGAATACAAAGTTCCCCCAGTGTCTCCCCAGTGTGCCGCTTGTTTTACTACTACTTATGTTCCCAGTAAGTTACATAAGTAAAACCAGCTTCAAAAGTACAGGAAACTATTGTCATGCGAAACCAATCAACAAAAAAAGCTTCAATAACAAGTGCAAGATCATAAAAGTGCTTTGTTCAAACTGATAACAGATCGTGGAAAGAAGCTGTTAGCATAGAACTATATGTCCAGCGTCTCCATCCATCCAGTTTCTTCCCCTTAATCCATTTCTGGGTTGGGGGGGTGGCAGTCAGAGCTGTACCCAGTACACCAGCCCCTTACTATTCCTCCTGCAGGTGGTGAGTCCACAGGAGGGTTTGATTATTCAGCAGGGGCTTCAGGCAAAGTGGTTTTAAGTGTCTTGCCCAAGGACACAACGACAGCAGTCATCAGTGGGAGTCATGAAGTAGGTCTTACAGTGGGTTTGAACCCACGATCTTCAGGCTCAAAGGCCAATGCGCTCTACCAACTGAGCTACTGTCGCCCACATGTCCAGCATCTCATCGAACAATAAATTGTTCAAGGTGGCCAGAAGAGTAGCATTGATTATTTTAAGGGCCTTGTGAGTCTGGATTCGTAAAGAACTTCCAGAACAGGCAGCTCACAGGTCAGAGGAAGATACACAGTCATTCCCGAACCGGACTCTTTAAAGTTCACAATACACTCTCCTCTTGTCCAAAACTGAGATAGGAGAGAGACACATTATACGTGGTCAGCGGGGACCTTTGAATATAGGGAAACCTAGTATATTTGTTATGAAATATTAGTATTTAGCATTCATATGTTTATATACATTTTACAGACATAATTTACATATGATTGACATCTTTGTTTTGCTGAGGGTAAAACATTAGATCTCATTGTCATATCAGTGCACGTGCCTCTTGTTGTCAGGTGCGAGTTGCTAGGGCGCCGCATCTGTTGCTAGGGTCCGTGCATCTTTTAAAACTTTGGCTGCGCCACAAACTCTTTTAGTCAAACTTCACTTGAGGATACCTTCCACCAGTGACTCTCAGACCACCTGCTGACCGCTTCTGTCTGGACTGTGAGACTTTTTTGACCACAAAACGTGAGCTTTTCCACTTTCTGTTTTGTCGTTATATGTTCGCCCCATGTTAATCAGACACACAGTGACTTGGATCAAAGTTAAAGCAGGTTGACGTGATTTTAGACACATAATATCCGTGCTGTTGTGCTGTCAGCTCCTGCACGTGCATCATAAAGTATCAATTATATGATCATAAAACCAAAGTGATAAAGTACATGAAACCACAGTCCTGCAGCTGGAACAACCCATTACAACTGCTGGCTCCATAAGTTCTATCACTGCATGTATTCTTGGCCTCTGTCACATCTTTAGATCAGCTTTTTCAGACAGAAAGGTGGAAAAAGACAGGCCCACGGTCCCTCTCTCAGCCAATCAGCTCTTCAAAAGTGGAGAGGGCACAGCCAATTAGGACAGACTGCCCTCTATAGGGCATGAACTAAGAGACTGAAAATAAACTTCTTCCCTCTGGCCATATAGCCTCATAAACATTTTGGAACCATAGTTTTTGAATATATAAGGCAGATCTATTGGTTAGATAGGTAGATACTTTATTGATCCCCGGTAGGAGAAATTCTGGTGTCAGAAACACATCCATCCACCCAAACAAAACAAATAAATATATGGCTTGATTTCTTGTTTGATAATGCAAAACATGAAAGAAAATGCAAGAGCAAAAGAAACTAGAAACTTGCAATGGCTGAAGCCATTGCGATTGACTGCGGAACAGATCTAATGTGGAAATCTGCTAAAAAAAATCCTTGAAATCCTTTAAAAGGCCTTGAAACTGTTAAAATACTTGATAGATATTTGAAACTCCTGAAGTCCTTGAAATTGTTGAAACCTTTAAACTCCTGAAATCCTTGAAACTGTTGAAACATTGAAACTCCTGAAATCCTTGAAACTTTTTTTAAACCTGGAAACTGTTGAAAGTGTGGAAACTCCTGAAATCCTTGAACCTCCTGATATCCTTGAAACTGGTTAAATTCTTAAACAGTTGAAATCCTTGAAACTACTGAATGTATTGAAAGTGTCCTTGAAACTGAAAAATCCCCTCACCGCTGAAACAATTTGGTTCCTGTAACTAAGGAAACCTGGTCTGTGGTCATTATCTGGTGGTGGTCTGAGTCTTCGTTTGGGTCTTGGTCTGGTGGTATAATGCAACCTATTAGGTTGCATTATACTGGTTTACATGGAAAAATCCCTATTAGGTTGCATTATACTGGTTTACATGGAAAAATCCCTATTAGGTTGCATTATACTGGTTTACATGGAAAAATCCCTATTAAGTTGCATTATACTGGTTTACATGGAAAAATCTCTATTAAGTTGCATTATACTGGTTTACATGGAAAAATCCCTATTAGGTTGCATTATACTGGTTTACATGTACAAATCCCTATTAAGTTGCTTTATACTGGTTTACATGTAAAAACCCCTATTAGGTTACATTATAGTGGTTTACATGTAAAAATCCTTATTAAGTTGCATTATACTGGTTTACATGTAAAAACCCCTATTAAGTTCCATTATACTGGTTTACATGTAAAAACCCCTATTAAGTTCCATTATACTGGTTTACATGTAAAAACCCTATTAAGTTGCATTATACTGGTTTACATGGAAAAATCCCTATTAAGTTGCATAATACTGGTTTACATGGAAAAATCCCCATTAAGTTGCATTATACTGGTTTACATGAAAAAAACCCTATTAAGTTGCATTATACTGGTTTACAAGGAAAAATCCCTATTAAGTTGCATTATACTGGTTTACATGGAAAAATCCCTATTAAGTTGCATAATACTGGTTTACATGGAAAAATCCCCATTAAGTTGCATTATACTGGTTTACATGTAAAAAACCCTATTAAGTTGCATTATACTGGTTTACATGGAAAAATCCCTATTAAGTTGCATTGTACTGGTTTACATGGAAAAAACCCTATTAAGTTGCATTATACTGGTTTACATGGGAAAAAACCCTATTAAGTTGCATTATACTGGTTTACATGGAAAAAACCCTATTAAGTTGCATTATACTGGTTTACATGTAAAAACCCCTATTAAGTTGCATTATACTGGTTTACATGGAAAAATCCCCATTAAGTTGCATTATACTGGTTTACATGAAAAAAAACCCTATTAAGTTGCATTATACTGGTTTACATGAAAAAACCCTATTAAGTTGCATTATACTGGTTTACATGGAAAAATCCCTATTAAGTTGCATAATACTGGTTTACATGGAAAAATCCCCATTAAGTTGCATTATACTGGTTTACATGTAAAAAACCCTATTAAGTTGCATTATACTGGTTTACATGGAAAAATCCCTATTAAGTTGCATTGTACTGGTTTACATGGAAAAAACCCTATTAAGTTGCATTATACTGGTTTACATGGAAAAAAACCCTATTAAGTTGCATTATACTGGTTTACATGGAAAAAACCCTATTAAGTTGCATTATACTGGTTTACATGTAAAAACCCCTATTAAGTTGCATTATACTGGTTTACATGGAAAAATCCCCATTAAGTTGCATTATACTGGTTTACATGAAAAAAAACCCTATTAAGTTGCATTATACTGGTTTACATGAAAAAACCCTATTAAGTTGCATTATACTGGTTTACATGGAAAAATCCCTATTAAGTTGCATTATACTGGTTTACATGGAAAAATCCCTATTAGGTTGCATGATTACACTGAAGTCCTTGAAACTGCTGAAGTCCTTGAAACTGCTGAAGTCCTTGAAACTGCTGAAGTCCTTGAAACTGTTGAAGTCCTTGAAACTCTTGAAATCTTGAAACTGCTGAAATCCTTGAAACTGTTGAATCCTTGAAACTGTTGAATCATTGAAACTGTAGAAATGTCTGAAAGAGCTGAAGTCCTATTAAAATGCATGGGCCTATTAAAATGCATTGCAGAATTCTCAATGCAGATTTTTGTCCGATTGCGGAAAAACCGGAAATCGCTGAAGTCCCAAAAGTAATAGCAATAATCTCCCAAACATGTGGAACGTTTTGATGTATAACTTGTGGAAATTGTTGAAAATGTGAAAGCTGTGAAACGTGTCAAAAAAAATGACGGAATAAAGAAATACAAAACCAATGGTTGACTGCGGAAGGTTCCGCAGTCAATCAATTAAAACACATGTTTGATCATTTACACCCATCTGACAGACCCAGATATACCACACCAGACAAGACGTAAGAGGCACCTGAAACGATCCAACACATAACTGCAGGGTGTAAGATGCTGGCAGGCCAATGGAATGCCATAACCAGGTGTCTGGCACAGTGTACAGGAACATCTGTGCAGAGGATGGGCTGGAAACTTCAAGGTCATGATGGGAAACACCTCCAAAGGTGGTGGAGAATGAGCGTGCCTGTGGATCCAGATAAGACCGACAAGATGGTAGTGACCCCTAAGCTGGAGGAGTGGTTAAAGCAAATCCCTGGAACAACTTTGGAAATCACGGTCCAGAAATGTGCTAGGAACATCAGGAGCTCCCTGACCTCTGGTAGACAACCCGAGCTGAGAGAGGGATTACTGCCGTGGAGGGTGAGGATAAGATATATACCACTCTTTCACTATCTCTTGGAATTGCCAGGTCGACCAACATAAAAAAGTTCACATATATTTCTAGTTTTAACGTGAAACAAATGCAATGCAGAAACTGTAAAAAAATGTACAAACAAATCACAAGTCACACAGTTTATTGTCTTGGCTGTTTTTAAAGTCAGTGTAGAAAAGCTCACCCAGGCAGGGGGGTATGAACAGCATGTACAGTGTGTTATGAACATTCCACCCTCATCAACCGCTTTGTTTCGTAACTATCTATGCATTGTCCCTGTCTGTTACATACATGAGCAAATACAAAAGATTGACAAAAATGCTCTTGGTTTAGAATGAAGACACTCTTACAGTAGCTGTATAGTTAGGCCATTTGAAAAAAATAGTTTGCATCTTTGGAAGAGATTCCTTCAAGCAGAAAGCTGAAACACGTGTATTTGATTTTAATTTAATAATGTTGGTTTTAATACATTGGAATCAATCAATGTATATTTTTTGCACCCAAACTTGCCTTTTATAAAATGGATTCTGATACATGTAACTTTTGATTATCACCTGCTCACTATTTAACCCTACTGTAGCTGTTCTGCATACGTTCATAGTCATATAGTGGTCCTCATTTTGTGCTTGTGCTCATTATGGCCACGAGGTGTCGCTCTTGTACCGCGCCAACCAAGACCAACCAGAGCCTGTCATTACGAATAATTTTGAAACTGTGAAGGGGGTTGATTGGATTCAGAACCCGAATTATTTGTATTGCCATTGAGAAATTGTCTTTGGCTCAAGGTGCAAACAAGTTGTAAGTGTAAAATAGGTAAAGGTATGCATAAAAATTCTTAAGATGACTAAAAAATACTTGTATATCACTGTATTCAAATGCACACTAATACAGGTTTGAAAGGGGTTGGGTAAAGCAGACGCATATTCTATCCCAACCCCCTCTCTCCTATTCAACACACAACAATACACACAGGCAACACCGGCCCCAAAACTCTCTGCTCTGACCCTTCGCCTCTCTCCATCACCTGCTCCACTCCTCCATCACTGCATTAGCTTTATTAGCCTATTTATACAGGCCTAATTATCCTATTAGACTAGGAACAGAAATAGTTCCCATTCCATCTGCAGTCCCTGTTGATCTATCTATCTATCTATCTATCTATCTATCTATCTATCTATCTATCTATCTATCCATCTATCTATCTATCTATCTATCTATCTATCTATCCATCTATCTATCCGTTACAGGATTAAATTATACATCAGCACAGATAAATGAGAAAGAGTTTTGCCTGAAAATCAACTTCTCAATAGCTTTGGTATTGAATATAATGAAGATAAGTGTTGTGTATAGACCTAATCATTAACTGAACTGAACCCTATATCATTCTCAAATACACACATCGCTGGGGCTTATTCTCACCACGAGAGGGACAAACCCCTGAGAATGTGTCAACAGTTTCTCTCTTCCTCACCAGACCCCGGGCTCCTCCTCCTCCTCCTCCCTCCTCCTCCTCCTCCTCCTCCTCCTCCTCCTCCTTGTGAACCCTCCCATCTCTCGCTCTCGCAGTTGGGTTTCTGCGCTCAGCATGTGCGCTCCCACAACCTGCGGCTCTCCCCATCCAGAAGCAACACTGACACAAAAGACGCCTGCAAAACATTTATATTTCTCTTTTTAATTAGATCCATCTGTACAGCGGAGGTTTCAGCACAAGCGCTTATTTTTGCACAGTAAAGCGCTTTGCTGGGGAAACGAGTCTTGGGAGACCTGGATTGGCCATTACGCGGCGAGGAGTTGTCCGACTCCGTTGCACTACGTTTACATCGTGGCTCTGTCACTGGGAACATGTTCGAAGAGGACCGCGGACACAGCTGAACTCTCTGGCGCAGACAAAGAGGTAAACAGTGTGTATGTTTGAGCTCTGAGGTTTAATATGTGTGTATAATATTGACAGAGCGACGATCAGACTCTAGCTGCCACAAATAACTATAAGGTTTAATTTGTGTATAATAATGTCAGAGCGAGTCCAATCACGATCAGACTATAGCTGCCACAAATAACTATAAGGTTTAATTTGTGTAGAATAATGACAGAGCGAGTCCAACCACCAGTCTGATGGTGGTTGGACTCTCTCAGTCATTATTTGAGTTAATAAGTTTCAGCCCCTCTGTCTGTCGACCCTGTCCATTGAAGATTCGGAAGACGTAAATATCTTTGGCATTTTGGTGGTGGGGATCCTCCTGTTTGGGTTTGGAGCGGTTCTCTTCTACCACAAATTCGGAGGCATGGCAGTTCGCAAGATTCACGACCTGCTGGCCGAAAAAATTGATGGGATGTACAAGGAGCTTAACCGAGTCGTGGTTGAGAGCGCTGTGGCTGGACAACGAAGAGTGGTGTTAGTGGAACAGTTGATCAAAGATCTCGCAGCTCGTTCACTTGATGGTCATAAGACTCTGGAATTGAGATTGAATGACATTGTCTGCCAGGCTTGAACTCTCTGACCCGGCTTGGATTTGCCCCTGTGTACGGGGTCTGAGGGCGCTGTAATTTGGTCTAATTGGATTTAATAGAATATCTGCCTGTTTTTGACTGCTAAACTGCATACAATATTGTCCCTCGTTACAGGAGATGTGTTCTCTCCCTATTGTGTCTTCCCTCCTCTCTTATCTCACATTCCTCGGGCCAAGGCCATCATAATAAATCTGGTCTCTACAAAAATTTCACACTCTTTCAGTCTTCCAGTTTGGATCCCGCTCCCCCCGCCTCCCTCTGATCTCTCCCTCCCCTCCCCTCCTTACTGTGTTTCCGACTCACCCCCTCCCTGACCCCGCCCCCCTCTGACAGCCACATTGGACCGGCAGGCCGGAGGTGCTCATCCCGTGAAAAAAATCCGTGGTTTATACAAAGCACAATGTTTTCTATCCAACTGTCTGTTGTTACCTGAATGTTATTGCTCTCTGCTGTTTCTTGCTGCACACAGCGCCGCAAATGGCGAAGTGGCACGCTCTCTGCCAAGACAATTTCCAAGTGATAACTTTGTTACTCACGTGGCAATAAAAATGATTCTGATTCTGATTCTGATTCTGATTATTATAGCTGCCACAATGCAACTATAAGGTTTAACATGTGTTTAACAACGACAGAGCGAGTCCAACCACCATCAGACTATAGCTGCCACAAATCAACTCTGAGATTTAATGTGTATAATATTATTAACAGAGCAAGTTCAACCACCATCAGACTATAGCTGCCACAAAGTAACTCTGAAATGTAATGTGTATAATAACAACAGAGCGAGTCCAACCCCCATCAGACTATAGCTGCCACAAATCAAACACTGTGAGATTACCTTTTTCACCCTGCAGAGAGCTACTTTCCCGGGACAATTAAGGCAGAGAGCTACTCCTAGTCAAGATTTATCAATGCATATTTCTTACAAGTGCTCAAAGTATGTGCAATTACAATAATAAACAATGATAATAAATAATACAATCTAAAATATTATGTATATTATTTCATTTGTTAATTTCTAAATATTTTGGCGAGCTACCTGGAAGAGGGTGGCGAGCTATTACAGAATGGTTCCCGATTAGCAGAACAGAGATCCCTGTCCCAGGCAAAACCTTCTCCACTTGCTGCATGCTTTAGATGCTTTAAATTGTTTATGTGTGGTATCAGGTGTGACAAGCTTCTTCTCAGCTTTTTTTTATAAATAGACTGTCAACTACGAAGGTTCACACAGCTCTCAGTATCGCATTCACTCATGATGCAGATGTGAACAATAAAGGGGCTTTTACAGTATCATTCATATACTGTACCAAGCCAAATGTACTGTTTATGTTTGAACTTCGTGGCTGACTGTGAACACCTGGCAATGATTTTAAGCAGATTACATCCAGACTCAGCTCAGATCGAGGCAGCGGCGAGTTAACCCTTACAGTTAACCCTTACAGTTAACCCTTACAGTTAACCCTTACAGTGAACCCTTACAGTTAACCCTTACAGTTAACCCTTACAGTGAACCCTTACAGTTTTGGATGTGTGTTTGCTTGTTATGTTATGCACACATGTAGCACCGGTTATGGGGAAGTTTTGTCGCAAGTGGCTGCTTTTTAAATGGTGCCATGTGATGAGAAAACGATTCATTACTCATTACTTATACTAACTAATTCATGATATGTTTTCTTCTGTTTTTGCCCCAAAACTTTAAAAACAAAGTGTATTGAGACCTGAATTTGTCCAAACACTCTCAGTACAACTTTGACAGAACCTTATAATTGTGGTTCACTTACATACAAACCATTTGAAGGCTACAGCGTTTTGAAACTCCAGACAATGTTTTTCCCGTATGGTTGAACAGATTTAATGCTTCCAGAATAATTAAGTCTATTTATTAATACAGTAGAACCATTCTGCTGTTGCCGGATGTGTTCTGAACTGTTTTTTTATTCATGTAAAATCTATATTTAAAGATAGAACGGCGTCATGTGAAGAAATGCATTTGTATATTGTCATTAGTACTTATTGGATTAACTTGGATGATGGATTATATTTATACTTTTGCACTGTTTACACATTTGTTTGAAGAAATGGGTGTAAGATCCATTTTTTGTACGGTCAGGATGCACCAAACCCTTTTATGGCACATACTTAATACTGTCAAATCTATCCTTATTTATTGGATTTCATTAAAACTGGTTCATTTAAGATCATTTGTTTGTTCTATATTTATTCCCAGTAGATTGTGCAACGATTTGCAGGTGATAAAGTCAGTTTGTGAATTCTCATTAGAGCAGAGCCAGAGGCCACACAGATGACTTACCACCAGTCATTGCTGGAATGCAATAAAGCTGGTTATACTGAGGTTATATCGTTGGTGCTGGCTCTTCTCTTCATCTTCTCTTTAATAACACTTGTGCTTTATTATTATTCATGAATGACAGGTTTCACTGAAAAAAGTGGTGAAAAATGAGGAAAAATTTATCTTAATTTGAGCACATTTTGACTGCCTTAAAACAAGATTTGCCAACGGGACAAAGCAAAATTATCTTGTTTTAAAAAGATACAAGAAAAGTCTCCCTTGGAATGAGAAAATGAAGCAACAGTTCATGAAATAAGGCTGAAATGGCTTTTTTAAATTCACAAATTTTGTTTTAAGTCAGAATGCACTCAAGTTAAGACCTCATATTTCATATTTTTTTGCAGTGTTCATGTGAGTCTCTATCGTGTTCATAAAGTACATATAATGGCATCAAAATTAGCTTGCATCTAGTTAAACAGATAATTAAAACAACTTGGACTCTGCTAGAATGTAAAGAATCTCTGGCGAGTATCGACACAGATTCTCCTTCAAACTCTGGAAGCCTGAGTTTGGAATGCACAGCAGCGTGGATGCATTATGCAAACATATGCAGCAGGTTGTGTCATCTCATGTCTCTGCAGAATCTATAGTGTCGGCAGCAGAACCGGAGCCGGGTTTGACCTTTGCAGAAGACAATAGTGTTCAAATTGAAATGACCATTTAAATGCAGGTCTCTAATTTGTCCATGAAGAGTTTTAAGTACAGCAATATGAAATTACAAGTCTGTATCTGGACAGGAAGTACTGAAAAAAATACATACAAATGTGTGTCCAAGCTCTGCACAGTGTCTGTACATACGCCTCCTTCTGTTCACACTTCAAAAAATGATAAAATATGGGATAATAATGGCCTAAATTGAGTGTTTTTATCTCAATTCTGAGTTTTTTCTGACTGTCTTAAAACATGCAACAACTGTCACTTTATTATCTAATTCCAAGGGAGACATTTTTAGTATCTGTTAAAACACGATCCTTTTTCTTGTCCCATTGGTAAATTTGAGCAAATTTTCACTTATTTGTCATCCCTTTTGCATTATATTACCATTGAAATTGGAAATATTTCAGCTGCAATTTTTCAATTTACCTGATTTGTTTCCACGTACAACATTCAAGAAAAGGATTATTACTTTCTTTTTCTATGAGAGCAAGCAGGGAATTTCCAACCTTCAGAAAACTACTGTAGCCCTAAAGTTCTGCTGTAATTTGTGCCACTGAGATTTCAGAATCTCTCTTCCAGGGAGTCCCGGTCCCAGAAGGGAGAGAGGATTATTCAATGTGTTCTCAGCGGTGTAAGGGAAACCGATACACACCCAGAGGAAGCATATGTAGACACAGGGATAACATGCAAACTACACACTAGAATTCCCTAGACACACTGTAGGTATTGTGTGTTCAGAAACCACTTGAAAAATTGTATACATAAGAAATCTTTTATTCGTCCCACAGTGGGGAAATTTTAGCCTGGTCGTACCACACCATAGTACAAATGACATTTCGTACTAAGGTCTGGAGGCGCTCCATTGACTCCTGTAACAGGTGGGAGGGGTTAACTCCTTTTGCAGATTGAAACGCTTGGATCTGTATGTAAGCCCGAGTGAGTTGTTAGCATTTAGCATTTAGCCAAGCCATCTCCTTTGCAGCTAAAGGAGCCCGTGGGGAGTAGCGCCACAATCTTTGGAGCAATTACATTTGCTAAATCTTCCTCTTGCTCCGGTTTCAATTTCTTGATAGTATTCCGGTCTGGTTCTATCGCATTCTTCGCGATTGCCAAACTACAACCTGCTCGTTCGACGCAAACTCTTGACGTCACCCACAACTAACTACAACACCCGCCTCCCACGCTCGCTGATTGGTCGGATGAAATTCAACCGATTGTAATCGCAAAAACAGGGACCAGACCCAGACGTTACATGCAGGGAAGTGATGACTGAGCGGAGTGTACGGTTGGCTAAGGCCAGGCTAGGGAAATTTCAGTGTTGCATCACCAGTCACAGGACAGTAGGAATGAGGAATGATATCTATACTAAACTCTATGCTCAATTAAAATAAAATCTCTTACTTTAGCATAATAAAGAAACAAGAATTAAGTATATAATTTGATCTAGTATAACCGTAATATATTTAGTGTTATTGGCCTTTATTTAACTTGTATGTTTTTGTTACCGATGAAATAATTATGGATTTCACGTCTGCTCTTTCATATGTTCAACTATAGACTCACTTTATCTGTCTTCGTAGTGTTGTCTTCATCCTCAAAGCCCTTAAGCCCACAAGAAAGTCCGTGTTCTCAGCGTTTGAAACCTGTAGAGAAGAAAGGGAAGGATGGAAAAGCTGTTTGTGGTCCGTGAGGATTGTTATTGTCGATGCAAATATGAATTACATTTGTGTTGTGGAAATTCCATTTGAAGGGCTGAAATAGCACAGGTTATTTTGTTAGAGAGACTTTGAAGTAGACATTGCACAGCGAGAGTTCTTTATAGGCCATATGGGGACTGCGCAGGTCTGGAAATTGAGTCCAGGCTCAACTTGACATCTTGAAATAATATGAAATAAAAGCCAGCTCCCAGTGAAGAAAGAGAACAAGGATAGTTGAAACTTTTTGAAGACTAAAAGAATACATTTTGTGCCGCTTTTTAGTCAAGGTTGGGACGAATCTCTTGTCTCTTGTCATTTTTCTCCTGAACTCTGCAAGGAACTTTAACTTGCAAATTCGGTGTCTTAAGTTTCCAAAGTACTTTTCAGAGATGAAAGAGAAGAAGCCGCCTGCTCTCTCCCAGGAGGAAGACATTTATTATTATCTACCTGACCTTCATAAATCCCGAGCTTAAGGGGCCTGTCAGAAAACATGTAATTACTGCATTCATTCCTAAACACCGGAGTGTATTTATGAGCCGTTGTGACAAGAATATTCAAGTGTTATTTACTTTGAAATGATTCAGGTGTTTTGAAATATCAACGATTGAACTGTTGACGTGTAATACCTTTTCCTATGCCCTCAACTTTGAAAATGAAAAATCAATGAATAAGTCATGGCTGTGTTGAAAAAAAAGGAAATAGAAAAGAAATCAAGGACTAAGCCGTATACAATGAAAAGAGGTGAGATGAGTTAAGAATTAAAAAACTTTTTTAATGCATTCATTAAGTTCCTCAGTATTATGAGGTCCGTAACACTCAGACATACAGTACATTTTTTTCTGCTCGTCATCTCACCTCTCTTCAGATGTCATTGGTAATTCTAATACTTTTTTTTAATCAGGACTAACATAATGATATACATCTGTTTCTATAGATCAGTAAATGTATCCAGTGTGAGATCAATAAAGTCTTATCTTATCTTATCAGGGGTCTCTAACCTGTAGCTCCGGAGCCAGACCCTTTCAGGTCGCTACCCAAAGGATTTAGAATTAAGCACATGACCTTGATTGAATGTGAGTTATACAGTATTATGGTGCATTTTACATGTGCTCTTCATGTTTTTTCATAAATATTACATTTTTTATAACAATTACAAAAAGTAGTCACTCTCTGTCTCTTCTATATAAAAAGTTGGAGACTCCTGCTATAGATGATGTATATAATTCCCATCAACTGCAATACTAAAGCTGGATTTTTTGCATCTGTCCTAACCATTTTCTTTTTTCTCTTCTCAGGATTCAATGAAAATGTCTGTGTGTGTTCATGAGAACCGCAAATCGCGGACCAGCACCGGCTCCATGAACATCTACCTGTTCCACAAGTCGTCTTACGCTGACAGTGTCCTCATGCACCTCAACTCGCTCCGGCAGCAGCGACTCTTCACCGACGTCCTGCTCCACGCTGGCACCCGCTCCTTCCCCTGTCACCGCGCCGTGCTAGCTGCCTGTAGCCGCTACTTTGAGGCTATGTTCAGTGGGGGTCTTCGAGAAAGCCAGGCCAGCGAGGTGGACTTCCATGACTCCATCCACCCAGAGGTGCTTGAACTCTTGCTGGACTACGCCTACTCTTCCCGGGTCGTGATCAACGAGGAGAATGCAGAGTCTTTGCTTGAAGCTGGAGACATGCTGGAGTTTCAAGACATCCGCGACGCATGTGCAGAGTTCCTTGAAAGAAATCTTCATCCATCGAATTGCTTGGGTATGCTGTTGCTCTCGGACGCCCACCAGTGCACCAAGCTGTCTGAACTGTCCTGGGGCATGTGTCTCAGCAACTTCCCTGCCATCTGCAAGACCGAGGACTTCCTCCAACTCCCCAAAGACATGGTTGTTCAGCTTTTGTCCCACGAGGAGCTGGAGACAGAGGATGAGAGACTAGTTTACGAAGCTGCCATGAACTGGGTCAACTATGACTTAGAAAAACGGCACTGCCACCTTCCAGAGCTCCTGAAAACAGTAAGACTAGCTTTGCTGCCTGCTATTTTTCTTATGGAGAACGTTTCCACAGAGGAATTGATCAATGCCCAGGCAAAGAGCAAAGAACTGGTGGATGAGGCCATACGTTGTAAACTGAAGATTCTACAAAACGATGGCGTTGTCAATAGCCCTTGTGCACGACCCAGAAAAACTAGCCATGCATTGTTTCTGTTAGGAGGGCAGACTTTTATGTGCGATAAGTTATACCTTGTAGACCAGAAAGCCAAAGAGATAATCCCAAAGGCAGATATTCCGAGCCCAAGAAAAGAGTTCAGTGCTTGCGCCATTGGTTGCAAGGTGTACATAACGGGTGGAAGAGGCTCAGAGAATGGCGTTTCCAAAGACGTGTGGGTTTACGATACCGTTCACGAAGAATGGTCTAAAGCAGCACCCATGCTCATCGCCAGGTTTGGTCACGGTTCTGCGGAGCTCAAACACTGCCTTTACGTGGTAGGAGGCCACACGGCAGCCACCGGTTGTCTCCCCGCCTCGCCGTCTGTGTCTCTCAAACAAGTGGAACAGTACGATCCGGTAGCAAACAAGTGGACTATGGTCGCCCCGCTTAGAGAGGGGGTTAGCAACGCCGCGGTGGTCAGCGTGAAGCTCAAGCTCTTTGCCTTTGGTGGCACTAGCGTTACTCACGACAAGCTTCCCAAAGTGCAGTGCTATGACCCCCAGGAGAACCGGTGGACTGTCCCAGCGTCCTGCCCCCAGCCGTGGCGTTACACAGCCGCCGCCGTGTTAGGAAATCAGATTTTCGTGATGGGAGGCGACACCGAGTTCTCTGCCTGTTCTGCGTACAAGTTCAGCTGCGAGAGTTACCAGTGGACTAAAGTAGGCGACGTGACGGCAAAGCGAATGAGTTGCCAGGCTGTTGCGTCCGGGAACAAACTCTACGTAGTTGGAGGATACTTCGGGACCCAGCGGTGTAAAACTTTGGACTGTTACGACCCGACGTTGGACGCGTGGAACAGCATAACGACGGTGCCATACTCGCTCATTCCGACGGCTTTTGTCAGCACCTGGAAACATCTGCCAGCTTAAACGACGAGCTGGGTTTTAATGAGGTATGTTGATTACTCACTACACAATACAAGATGTTTCAATAGAAGTAGAGTGACATTGCTTTATGACATGATCTTTAACAACTACAAACTACTCATGTCTTCAATGTGTTGCCTTGTATGATTCTTCACAGTGTATCTTTTGGCACTGAAAAAAAATCAGAAAAAACCCCAAACTTATGTTAACTTATATTCGTCCCTCAGTGGGTAACCCTAACCCAGAAGGAGAAATAAAAGCACTCTGATTTTGCACACATCAAACCTAATCTATTTGTTAAGATGTTAGATAATAAAAAATAAGATAATAAATCAATTATTCAAACCAAACATAATATCTGCCTTTACATTTTAGAGTATTAGCAGATACAAAAATGCAAGTGTATTGGTTTATTTGCGGTTCTATGACTTTTATGTCTGAATTGATTTAATAGACGGCTATTAAACATCAATACTGAACCTAAATGGTATTATTTTGTTTGGTCTCAAAAACAAACAAACGAACGACTCACTGATTTATGTTGAACACTCTTGCATAAGGCCGATGGGATGGTTGGATTTTTCGGGGTTGTGAGGGAGGCCTTTTCTGAGATTTATGGGGTTCCATTCCTTAGTTACGTGAGTTATGGCTGTGGGGATGGGCTGAAGGACATGGGGCTAATTGAAAGAGAATAGGATACTTTTATTGCTCCTGCGGGGGAAATTTATCTGGTAGAGAGAGAGAGGCTCGGCCAATTAGACAAGCCACACAGCAGCGGGCTACAACATCCAGGCGAGGCTAATCCTCCCTGTGTCACCTCGCTTTGATGAGGTTATGGTCTTTTAGCCAGAGGTGGGAGCGAGCAGCCGGAGACTCCCGCGGTGCTGGAAACTATTCATCTTCAGTTGTGAGTGAAGGTGACCAAGGCCGTAGGAGAAGCAGGGAGTGAGGAGGGGAGCGTACTCTGCCCTTTACAGCTTTGCAGACATGACACTTCAGCAGTAACAGGCTGTGGAGAGATTTCGTTTTTACTCTCTGCATCAGCAAAATCATACCCAGATGTTAAGCGCTAACGATACTTTTTAGAGCATGAGCAGATGGATAAGAGGCTGTCTATGGTTATGTGTATTGTGTATGTATGTATGTAATTAATAATAATATAATAGTAATGTAATTGATATTAAGCCACAACTATATTCTCGTTACAACTTAGCCTTTGTAGATTGCAGGCGCATAGATGATGCAAAGTGCTATAATTAATGTATTTTAACAATAGTATATATATTCTTAAACTACTAGAACTCCCAGAGCCGTTATTTTGACTGCTTCCATTCAAACCAATGGCATTTCCACCACGTTTTCCACCAGATTTATCAAAAGTAAGGTTTTTTTTTTAACTTCACTTTTACCAAGATCTAATATTGGTGAATAAAACTGAAATACGGCAAACAGTTTATTGAAAGGCTGAAATGGTGTTGCTATGGTAACTAGTACTGAATTTTTACTGGTGGAAAACCAATCTGACTCTGGACCAATCCAGGACCAGCACTTTAACCAGGACCTTTAACTGCCACAGACGGTTGGTACCAAGCGACTGAAAATGGCTATATTTAAATTTGACATTTAAATGAGTTCTGGTTAAAGGTAGAACTACAGTAGTCACATAAAATAGATAATTTGACAAAAGATAATGATAAAGTATGTATATTAAACAGAAAAAGTCATGTCAAGTTATGAAGTCCAAATTGACTGCTCTGGGAGTTCTGGTGTGAAATATTGATTTTCTTGTACCAGACATTTCAACAGAAACTCAGAGAGCGACCTCCAATCGATTCAACGTCTTGTTAGTTTCAACACTTCTTCCTTTTCTTTATAACAGGTCTGCAGGAACAAAAGTTAGCTGAGTGGTTAGCTGTGAAAGGAAGCGTGTTTGACCTCAGAGCACATTCCCAGGAGATCTATTCTGACTCGTCTGAGAATCCCTCCAAGATTTCTCCGTCTTGACATTTATTGAACACAAGAACAAAAATGTGGTTCATGTCCATGTTCCTCTTTTGAGTATGTTAATTTATAAAAACAAATTAGTGCCATTAGATAAAAATATTTGAAAGGCTCACAATTTTCCCCTTACCAAGTAGTTTTCTGAAAAGCCAGATATATTTTAGCGCCATTCAAATAAAGTGTCACCCCTTCTTGAGAGAATCCTTTTCACATTTCCAAAACGTGAAAATTGTGGCAAGAGGAAAACAATTTTTTGACATTTTTTCAAAACAGAGATATCTGATTTGGCGATTAAGATTAAGACTAAGATCAAGATTACGAGTCCCACAGTGGGGACATTTCAGTGTTGCATCACCAGTTACGGAACAGTAGGAATGAGGAGCACACAGCACAAGATAAGTGACTCTCTTAAAATAAAAAATTATAAAAAAAATAAACAAATAAAAAAAATAAAAAAAATAAAATAAAATAAAATAAATAAAATAAATAAAATAAATAAAATAAATAAAATAAATAAAATAAATAAATTTAGGGTAATAAAGAAGCAAGTATAAAATCTCTAGCTTTTTCAAAATGAAGAAGCAAGAATAAGTATAAAATCTCTGACTTTAGCATAATAAAAAGCAGGTATAAAATGTATTCTTCCACTTTTGAACAACACTGAACCAAAACAGCTACTAAAGTCCAATTTCCCTTCTGCGTGAAACATTAACATGTCTTCTCTTCTTTTCTTTCCCACAGTTTCCTCTTTGATCATCCGCTTGGACTCGACCGGTGAAGAGAGAGAGAGAGAGAGAAAATCGTGTGGTTCCTCGGCCACAGTGCTCTGTCTCTGCTCATCACGTCACGTCAAACAGAATCGTGCACAACTGAACTGTCACTCGCCTGAAATCTCATCATCTCCGACCGGACATTCGGGACCACGCAAAACAAACGCTTTTCTGTGTGTTGAAATAAGGAGTGTTTTAAAAGCGCCGTTGACGACATGAAGGACTTTAACAGGAGCGTGAATGAGAAAGTTGCCATGTGTGATTTCTGGATCGTCTCAAGCACAATGAAGGATCTGCCCTCTGTATATTCTAATAAGCTCATGTGTCATGATCTCTTAATGCAGGGGTGTCAAACTCATTTAGGTTTGGGGCCAAATACAAAAAAATAGGAACTGGATGGGGCCCGAAAAGATAGAGGGGGTTTCCTTTTCTTTTCAATCAATCAATTAATGAATTTTATTTATGGAGCTTCTTACAACACTCAAGGCGGCCAATGCTTCACAATATAATCACATGAAATCCTCTAAAACTTTCATGTATTCAAACAATAATTTCTGGCGTATTTACAGACATTTTCATTAATTTGCACTGTCCCTGTAACAAATAAATAAATAAGTAAAACAGTTAAAAACATGAAAAAAAGAAGGTAGATTGTCGTGACTTTTATGTGAGTTTCTTCATTATTTTCTAGTTGATTTTTCTGAAAACAATATGTGTTTATGGTTTAGATTGAACCAGAAATAAAGTTAAACACATAGTTTCATATTTAACTAACTTCTATTGATGTGTTGGGTTAAAAGGTTAGAATGCATTAAATTTGGTTGTTTTCCGGAGAAAATAGAGTATGTATAACATGCCTTGGTCGCCCATAACCATCAATGCTTCAAGTTAAGGGGGGGATCTTCAAGACTATTGGTCCTCCCAAATGTCAATCATTCTGGTGATATGTGCTCAACAAATAAGACTGAACCGTTTAGGGGCCAGTAAAAACGGTCTTGCGCCCCAGATTTGGCCCACGAGCCTGAGTTTGACACGCCTACCCTCATGGAATAGTGCTCCTCCCATGATGCTTTGGTGTTGGAGCGGCCACACCAGTGGAGGGGGGAGGGGTGGCCTGCTGCCCCCTGGGTCATGACTCGCTGTTTCGCAGTGCATTAAAAATGCCTGTAGAGCACTGTTGAAAATGCACAGAAGCATGTCCGCCTTAATATTATGAAAAATGGCATGATTTATTTGAATTGTTTTCGTCGTGGTTACAAAATGCTCTGTAATCTGAGATTGAATTAGGTTACAGCTTCTTGCAATGTACCTTTTCTTAATTAAGTAAGTAAGTAAGTAAGTAAGCTTTTATTTATATACCGCCTTTTCACTGCACATCGGAGTCTCAAAGCGGTTTACAATTGTTGGGTGGGGGTGCCAGTACAGGAGGCACATGCCAGACCTATTGTACATATTTTTAGTGGTAGGGGAAACCGGAGCACCCGGAGGAAACCTACGCAGACACGGGGAGAACATGCAAACTCCACTCAGAAAGGCCCTAGTCCAACCGGGATTCGAACCCAGGACCTTCTTGCTGAGAGGCGAGAGTGCTATCCACTCAGCCACCGTGCCGCCCAAATTAATTTATGTGATAGTTGTTTTTTCTGTTTTTCTAATTTATTTCTCCTCTGCCTGCATTCATATGTGACTTTATATGTGATGTTGGCGGCTGTCCTGCATGAAAAGTTACATTATAATCGGTTAGCGTTTTGCACAGTTCACTCTTTCCTGCCGCAAAACATGACTTTAAGGGACTTTGAATGGAGAGCTCCAAGTTTTAGAAAATGATGTGAGATTAAGGATGATTTTTCTCTAACAGTTTAAATCTGTCAGAAACACGGGAGTCACTGCACAAAGCTAACAGAACAGGATCAGACTGTAGATCCATCTCTACAGTGTGGGAGCGATGACGCAGAGAGGCCTGAGACTCCGAGAGCAGCTGGATTCTCTCTAACAAGGCAGAGCACAGTCAACATTAACATTGTCTTTGAGAAGTGTGGAACCGAAAGGGCAGACACCGCAGTGCTTTTCACCATGAGGTCTCTAAAAATAAGTAGGCTATAAACAAAACGTTTCATAAGACCAAATATGAAAGAATGTCTTAAGTATATTCTGATTGAGAAGTGTTTGTCTCATGTCGTGTTTATTGAACAATAAGGAATAACTGATTTTTGACAAAATGTAAAAAATTCTGTTTTGGTCGCTTGTCTTGTTTTCCTTTTGTGATGGAACTCCTCCTTCTCTCCCCTTTTGAGACAACGTCCACTCCAAAAGACTCCTGAGGCAGAGCTCTTGCATTGATGACCTTCTCAGCCCCTGGGCCTTGCACAATGCACCACCAATCAGATTTAAGCTTTCCCCCATAGAATGTATGTTTCCATGGCAACATAGAAACAAATGCCCCTTCAATGTTGTCCTAATTGTTTTCATTTCCAAAGTTCTTGTTTCCTCTGTCGACAGTGTTTTATCTCAATGTAAATCCAGACAACGCTGTATGTTGTTCATTGGTTTATTATTTTATCATGTAAAACTTTTTTTCTATTTTTATGGCATTATTTTGTACATGCATTTTTTTCACAATGTGAAATTCATGGCTAATAAACATAAGAGTTTTTTCCTCTTGACTGTAAAGCTTTATCTTGTGTGATTTTAAAGATAGTCTCTGGGTGCAGAATCCTTGTGTTTCCTCATTAGCCCACAGCATGTGTCACAAACGGAAAGAGCAGTGCAGTCAGGAGTGTCCTGAGGTATTTAAAGCAGCGTATCGTCAGGCCTTTGTTCTCTGAAGGAGGGACTAAAATCATCTTATCTACGCCTCTGGCTTCTGAAGCTTCCAGCAAAAGAAAAGACAACACAGCCAGATACTTCTCATTCTCTGACAAGTCACCTTGGCAACAGCAACCTTTATCTTCCAACTGTGGGGGCTGGAGCAGAACATGAAATCTTTAAAAGCAGCTATTCTGCAGTTTAGCCCCTCCCTTCTCACTTCCTACACCCCCAGCACAGCGCTCACACCCCTCATCACTGGAGGCACGGTGCAGCTCTTGGCAGGCGGCCCCCTCCTGTGGACAGGTCCTCGTCTCATTAGCGAGCCACAGCAGAGCTGCTGTCACACGCTGCATTCCTGCGCTCACAGTGCTCTCTGTTTACACGTGCACTCAGATGACTCTTGGATGAAGCACAGAACTCTGCACTTGTAGAACCTGACCACTGCTCCAACACAGGCCTTAATGTTCTGAGAGCTTTCAGTCAGGGGAAAGTCCCGAGTGAATCTGACCCGTGAGCCTCAGCTGAATAAAAGTCAAAGCTATAATAAATAACTGGTGAGAAACATTGGAAGGCTTGTCTTGTGTCCCTCCTGGGGTTCACACCACCCACTTTGAGAACCACCAGTTTGAACATTGCTATTGCATGTGCATTTAATCCTCAGCAACAAGGAATAAGCCTCCTATTGTCAAAACTACAGATTCACTTTACTTTCATTTAGTGTTCTTATGCTGATCTTTTTAGTCCAGTGTCTAAAAAAAACCTCTTGTTTCCCATGTGACAGCCTCTCATTAATCAGACAGGAAGCTCCATTTCCTGTCAGGCAGGAAGTGGACTTATACCAGAGGGCAGCCCTGGCCCCAGACACAGATCTCGGCCGTGACCCTCCTCGGTCCCCTGTCTGAATCCGTTGGGGGCAGTGAGCTTATGCAGAACTGGGTTTACAGGACTTAAGCCGACTGTTTAGAGTGAGCAGGTTGCATGAGGCTTGTTGCTTTGGTAAAACATGTGTGGGTTGGATGGATTAGAGTCTAAAAGTCAATACAGTGAGGAAATTTCAATGTTGCAGCACACATAGTTTACTTTTGAATGCGCTGGAAAACGGCAGCAAGTCCTAAGTAGCTCTGAAACAGTTGTTTTTCGTATTGATTTTTTCTACCTGAGATTTTGCTGCAGTACAGTGTTCATGGTCTTGCACTGGTCCAGACCGGAGCAGAGAGGATTCATGGTCCGAACCAAGTGGATCAGGTGAAAATCCACTGGAGGAATGCTAACTTTTAGAAAAATGCTAATGGGGCACTTAGCATTTTACTTTGGACTAGAGCAGAGAAAATGATCCAAATCAAGCAGCTACTCCACCTTGTGACTGTCCTGCTCCACCCAGAGGCTACTCCACCTCTGCTGCTGTGACCTGAAGGGCTGTTGCTGATTATTACTATTGTTAGCTGTTTAGAATGATTAATATTTTTTTTTTATTTTTGATGCTCCTGGGCACCTGAATTTCTCCTACGGGGATCAATAAAGTATCTATTTATCTATTGACATACAGAACAGTAGTAAGAGCACACAGGGAGGACACAAAATATACAATTAAAGAAGCTGCTATGTTTCTTTGCTATGTTATAAAACAGATATGTGTATATTTTTAAATGCAGACCTATTCTGTATTGTTTTCCTGAACACGTGGCAACTCCATACCAGACAATTGCAGCAGAATTTCTATTCAGTGTAATCCATAATTAACAGCCTGGCAACCCAATTCTGAACTGTCGACGGTCACAGGGAGTTTCACAGGGTTTCGTCAGCTGCAGCTGGAGGTGTGAGAAGGTGGCTTTGTTAATGTTACACAGTCTCCCTGGTTATGGGTGGAGCTGGACAGCTCCAACACTGGACGTTTCAACAATGTGAGCAAACCCAATTATAAAACAAAGTCCAGAAAAACACAGCCTTTTCATGTTTGAATATCGGTCGTATCTTGGCTATCTCCCTCTCGCACACATTGCAGTCATGGAAGAGATGTTTTTGGTCCACTGGGCACTACTCACTCTGACCTTTGGCTTTTATCAGCGTGACAGGCGAGAGGAGACTGTTGCCTGAAGCCAGAGAACTCGAGTGTCAAGGGCCATTGTGTCAGATGTCAGGACGAGTCTCTCTCTGTGCCGATGGAAATGCCAGCCCCATGTTGTTCAATGTTTATGTTTTGAATGTTTCCTGATGCGAACTGAGAGTAATGTGCGTCATTCTATTGGACGGTCACTCAAAAATGATATTCTCGTAAAAATTCACGTATTTTTTGATAAATAAGCATCAAATATTCATAAAATCATCATATATAAATTAATTCCAATCATAATAAGGGAAGAATTTGAACAGGATAAACAAGATATATACATTTGAAATAACCATTTGGATGTTTTATATAGTTCTATGATTTTACTTTATGTATTTTTTTTGTATGTACGACTATTGTGTTTATGGCTATATCATGTGTGTTCTTTTTCACTGTTATTACAAATGACATTTCATATCACAAAGGGTGCTTGAAAATAAAAATAAAAATATATACACATGTCCACTGTAGCTATGTATATGTAAAATGTATAGCATTTATGGATGAAAATTGTGTTATACCTTCAAAGTCTGTACATTCACTGTGTCAAGGAAACACAACAAAGTATATTAAAAAAACAAAACCTCAATGAAAAAGTGTTCAGGCTAAATTAATGATCAAGTTAACGTTATTATTCAGTGAGGTATATTTAGCTTTGTGTGCTAACCAAAACCAATTTCTGTCCGTATAGTCATTCAAGAAAAACGCAAGAATTTCACATGATATTTTTCACATTTTAGCTTTTCAACTTATGTCTGGTTTCAGTTGCTCCCCAGTGGCATTGGGTCAAATGTATTTAGGACTAATCCAAAAATGCTGTATATATTCCTCTGGTCTTTGTTCATAACGCCTCTGCCTTTATTTCACCTGCAAAGATAACATTTTTGAGTTATTAGGTTCCCCCGCGGCCACAGACTAATTTCCCGCTTGAACATCTCGAGTGATTTGCAGTGGAAACAAGGTCATCCAAAGAAGTGTAATTAATCAAACTCTAGGGGGGCATAATTTGGCGACTGACCTTCACTGCTCTCCTGCCTTTTGTGACGGTGGTCTGAGGCTCTGGTCGTGAAGCGGTGACCGACGGATGAATATTTACAATAAAACTGTCACTCACCCTTGACTAAGTTTGACGTGCTGCGTGGGCCAGGGTTCACATGTGTTCAAAAAGCGTGAAAAGACTGTACAGTATATAGATGGACAATGTTATCCCTCCAGGCAAGGCAAGGCAAGTTTATTTGTATCGCACAATTCAAACACAAGGAAACTCAAAGTGCTGAACAAAACAAGAAAAAAATAAAATAAAATTACAGTACATTAAAAAGAGCGGCCATAAAATCCCTCAGTTGTATGCACAGCTAAACAGAACAGATTTGAACATTGTCAGAGAAAAGCCTCGTGCAATGTAGCCCAATAGGGAAATGCTCATGGAGGAAGTTTTGCACCAACTCGACCTGGCTCCTATTGACTTACAATGAGAAGTTAGCTGTTTGTGTACCCTCACCACTTTGGGCTTAAAAAAATTGGGTTTCAGCGTAGAGGTATGCTATACTTAATGATAACTTTTTCTTATTCATATTATTTTGTGTTTGTGTGCTAGACAGTGGCACTGTTCTGTGAGCTGTGATGCAAGACTGAAATTATCCCATTGTGGGACGAATACAGGATCTCTTCATCTTAATCCTTGTCTTTATATTTTGATATGAGCCATTCTATAGGAATTGCCCAATCAGAAGTGTATCACAGTGGAAACTCCAACTTGCCTTAGCAACCGTCTTAGCAACACGTCTTCCATGGTCTGCCCCTTTTTACGGCACTAAGCTAACACCGTCAGAACAAATGCCCATATAAGGAAATTGGCTCCAGCTATTTTATATATGTTCAATCCGGCTTCCACTATGGGTGACATCAGCTCTCAGTCAGTCCACTCCCAATATACAGTCTATGGTAAAACCTCAAAATATTTTTCAGTTCAATTCAATTCAAATATTTTTTGAATAGCCCTAAATCACAACAGTAATTACAATAACAAAAAAATATTTTTTGAAAATAGTCCAGGGTTTTCCAGCTGAATTAATGTTGATGCTCTGAGTCCAAAAATGACCTTGGTTTTGCTCAATCAGGTCAGGATTTTTTGCTACAGAATTTTTTTAAATAATCAATTTTGCGTAAAAAACAAATTTCTGCGGATCATCAGCTGAGAAACCCAGGACGTTTTTTCCGTTTTCCTCAAGAAATAAAAGTCAACGTATCCAAAGTCATTAAATTTGTATTTACTCGCTCAGATTTGATAAGCAGAATTCATAATAACGTAGACGTACATAATCCGTAACACTATGGCTGTATCTCAAAAAGTGGACCTGATAGAGCAAAATGCATGTGATATTCGGACTCAGAACACCAACATTAGTCTAAATCAGTTGAGAAACCCCTGACCATTTTTTGGCTGTCAACTTGTGTTATCTCGAAGAACTTTACATAACAGTCGATTTTTCCAACACAGATCACAGAATCAAACAGTTCAAACACAAGAAATGCAACAATAAAAAAACACATAGAGCCATTGCTCCATAAGAAGTAGATCACCGATGTCCATAAATCTTGATAAAGTCCATAAATGTTGTTGATTGTCGAGTGTCCTGGATCCTCCTGTATCGGCAAGAAAAAACTCAGATTTTACTTTATTTATCCCAGGGCCAATTAATTTGAGCAGCACAGGGCATAAAAACATAAAAACACATAAAACACAGGAAATGTCAAAATGAAAAGTGAGAAACCTTGAGGAAGGCCCACATTGAGGGAGGAATCCGATCTCTTGTTTGAAATCGCAATGTAATACTTCTCACTCCGTTTTAGGCTGTGCGTGCCTCCTTTGTAGTCATACCACCTGGGGAAACACTCCCCAGCTGAATCAGCCTCTCCACTTGTTGATAAGATGTGTTATGAGGTCATTAGTACATACTTATTAACCTCTCGGCGATGCTTTCAAAGACCACTTACCTCACGTCACCATCGGGCTTATCTCGCTCCTGGAAAACCACCGGGAGATGAATCGCGGAATGAGTTAGACATAATAACAGTCTGTGGTCATAACACTGTGTACCCTCTCTTTGAAACACACCGACCGTCTTTTAATCAGGGCAGCTCCGAAGCGTTTACCCTCCAATTTCTTCTGTTATATGGATTCTTAATGGGTGTGGTTGGAATGATGGCATGATGGGGTAAGTTAGGCCTCTTCACGTCCAAAAA